ACGCTTCTTTAAAAAGTCTTACAACCATCCACGATACATAAAACTAGGGACTTTCTTGGTGAATCATAGGAAATGTAGTAACAGACTCGCCTGTAATGATTTTCACCTTCATCTTTAAGCTGATCTGAAGGACAGTTATTACAGACACACGGGCCCCAGCAGGGGCCACACGGCTGCTCCAGGTGTGTGTCTGCCGGAGAACATGGCTGTGATTTAATCCCTGCTGGATCCTCCATGACTGTCCCTCCTGTTGTTGTTCTGCATCTCCCAGTGTAAATGTGAAGCTGTTGTTGTTTATTAAGGGCACAATAAAGCCCCCCCCCCGTCCCTTCTCCCCCTTCCGTTTCCCGCGGAAGCCCCTCCCTGTTAGCCGTTAGCCGCTGAGCTCCGTAGCCGGACGACAGGAGGAGTAGCCGGGGAATCTGAGGAGAAAAACACGGAGCAGAGGAGGACATGAGCCCGGCGGAGGACAGCAGAGGACCGCGGTGACCGGACAGCGAGCCTGCCGCCGAAAACAGCCGCTTCCCGGTGCGTTGATCCGGCTGGAAACGGCCGAGGAGAAGTCGAAAAACACCGAACCTCCTCCCGACTCTCCCATTCCTCCTCCTCCTCCGTCTGCAGTCTTCATCTGCTCCTCATTTCCCGGCAGGAAGCAGCAGAAACGTCCGTTCAGGAGGAGAAAAGTTGATTTGTGTCCGTTAGTGCGGTTGTTAGTTTCCAGCGCTGCCTCCAACTCCGTTTAACCGCCGCCATTAGCCTGCTAGCTCCAGTTTCCCATTAGGTTTAATGGGAAGGAGCGGCTAGCGTTAGCATAGCTCCCAGTTCTGACGGAACTTAAAGGGTCCTGGGGCGTTCAGGGACCCGAACAACAGTGAGGGAAGAGCGAGTTAAACCTGTGGTGCAGGGTTCAAGGACGTTTTTGAGTGTTTTAGGAGGAAGCTTGAAATGTGTTGAGCCAAATGTTGTGTTTCAGACATTTAAAGTTTTTAAATAATCTCAGTGTGGTTTGTAAATCAGTTAGAATGTGGTTTGGAAGTTTTTAAGTGTTCTGGGAAGAAGTTTTGGATGTTTTGACACTTTCTAAGGTCTTTGAAAGTTTGGGACATGTTTAGAAGGTTTTTGGTATCCTGAACCTTTAATTCAGTACGAAGTAGTCCATGCATAACACAGCCAGCTGCGTTACGTACCATCAGGTAGTATAGGATAGTAACATGTTTATAGTTGTGATGCTGTGTTTTCGTGAAGCACGCCGTGTTAATAAAGTCTCTCTCCACACAGGACCATGCACTGACCCCTCGCTCGCCCCCGCTGTTAGAGAGAGAGAGAGAGAACGATCCAGAATGGGGTTTGGTCGGGACCTGAGGAATTCCCACGAGGGATTACTGAAGCTGCAGGACTGGGAGTTAAAGGTACAACAGATCTGTGGCCCTGAACGCACCACACACAAACTTAATCTGTTGTCTTCATGACAGTCAGAGCCCCGGGGTCTCCGTTGTTTCAGTCAGTCCTCAGGGCCCTGGGGTCTCTGTCAGTTTCATAACTAACATTTGTTTGGCCAACAACATGAAGGCTCTCTGACGCTGCATTCAGGGCCGTCTGAAAATAAGTACGAGTACAAAGTATTTAGTCTTTATCTGATGAGGATCCCTGATGGGGCTCCTCAGGTAAAGAACACACCTGGATTTATTAGTGAGTCCTGAGTAGGTAACCTGCCACATCTCCAGGACAGTATTCCCATCCATCAGCTGGGATCACAGAATACTACAGTAATACATTCAGTTAAGATGTAGTAGATGATGCTGTGATGTGTTAAATACAGGTGTGTTCTCTTTTACCTGAGGAAGGTCACCTGTGGCTGAAACGTCGTCCGAGTAATCTGCTCTAAATGTTTGTCAGCTGTCATGTGACCCCAGGGTTACGGAGCAACAGCTGACCTGGGATCAGCTGACCACCTCTGATCATCAGTGCATTGAATGATAAAAGTAGAACGATGAATGTGTCCAGATGTAAAAGTCATGATTAGTCTCCAAACATCAGCTCCGGTACGAGCAGTGCTTCCCAGGATGGTGGGTGGACATCGCTAGGTATGAACTTTGCTCTCTTTCTAACACTTATATGGCGTGGTAAACAATTTGATCATAAACGCACTGTACAGACATGAAAGGTGACGAAACAGTAAAAATGTCAACTGTTTTTCCAGCAACCCTAAATCAAAGAATAATTTATTTAATAATTTTTTTAAATTTTCAAAGTACGACCCAATTTGATAAATTGTTTTATGTTGTACTCGTATTACGTAAAATTAAGACTTAACAGGCTCTCGTACTATATCACTTGTCACAAGTCTGCTATGCTGCTCCTGCATTTACCATAAAGGCTGTAATACATGTGCACTCCAAATGTAGCGGCTAGCTTGGTCGCGTTCTCAGTGGAAACACTCAACCCGTTCAAACCCTTAGTTACCGTTACCATAATACCTCAGAAGAAAAGTGAGTCGGGCGCGTCAGTGTGTGAGCGCGAGAGTTTACAGCAGCGGCGCAAAACACAATGTTAGAAGTCTTTTATGTTAAAATATATTCGGTTCATTTTGAAACTATGGCGGAACAAAATAGACTGTGGCGGGCCGCTGTGATAACGTCCCCGGCGTGTCTGTCTCCCTCTAGCTGCTGGAGACGGTGAAGCGCTTCATGACGCTGCGAGTGAAGAGCGATAAAGAATACGCCGCCCTGCTGCTCAGCATGACTCAGCAGACGGAGAAACAGGAAGCTGCTGATTACGTCAGCACGGTCAGCAAGGTGAGTGTCTCAGTGTCAGTCCTGGCCCCAGTGTCAGTCCTGGTCTCAGTGTCAGTCCTGGTCCCAGTGTGTCTCTGTGTCTCAGTCCTGGTCTCAGTGTCAGTCCTGGTCTCAGTCCTGGTCTCAGTGTCAGTCCTGGTCTCAGTGTGTCTCTGTGTCTCAGTCCTGGTCTCAGGTGATCCGTCAGACCGAGGCCCTGGGTCGGGTCATGAGGAGTCACGCTGATGATCTGAACTCTGGTCCTCTGCACCGCCTGGCTACGCTGATCCGGGACAAGCAGCAAGTGAAGAAGAGCTACCAGAGTCTTCATCAGCAGCTGGAGAGCCATAACCACAAGGTCTGCTGGGAAATATGGGACCACACACAGGGGGCTTGGCCGGCATCCGTCAGTAACCCTGTTGTTGTCGTTGGCAGGTAACCAGGAGTGACCTGGACAAGCTGAAGGCGACGTACCGCCAGCTGAGCCGTGACGCTAACAACGCCAAGGAGAAGTACCGCGAGGCTCTGGCTAAAGGTTCCTCTTCTAACGTTATTATCTTAACACTCTGACTGAAAGTTTGGGAATCCCTGACCCCTCCCTCTCGTCCAATCACAGGCCGGGAGGCAGAGCGTGCCCGGGAGCGTTATGACAAAGCAACGGCAAAGCTCCACAATCTCCACAACCAGTACGTGTTGGCGGTGTGCGGCGCTCAAACGCAGCAGGACGAACACCGGCGGCGTGCTGCACCAGCGCTGCTCGACTCTCTGCAGAGGATGCAGGAGGATATGACGCTTGCCCTGTGAGTCACGTGACACACTGACATGCTGACTGGCACAGTAACTGACATGCTGACAGACACGCTGACTGACACAGTAACTGACATGCTGACAGACACGCTGACTGACACAGTAACTGACACGCTGACAGACACAGTAACTGACAGACACAGTAACTGACAGACACAGTAACTGACATGCTGACACGCTGACAGACACAGTAACTGACAGACACGCTGACAGACACAGTAACTGACAGACACGCTGACAGACACAGTAACTGACAGACACGCTGACAGACACAGTAACTGACAGACACGCTGACAGACACAGTAACTGACATGCTGACAGACACGCTGACAGACACAGTAACTGACAGACATGCTGACAGACACGCTGACAGACACAGTAACTGACACGCTGACACTGACAGACACAGTAACTGAGATGCTGACATACACGCTGACAGACACAGTAACTGACATGCTGACGCTGACAGACACAGTAACTGACATGCTGACTGACATGCTGACGCTGACAGACACAGTAACTGACATGCTGACAGACATGCTGACACTGACAGACACAGTAACTGACACGCTGACAGACACAGTAACTGACATGCTGACAGACACGCTGACAGACACAGTAACTGACATGTTGACACGCTGACAGACACAGTAACTGACATGCTGACAGACACGCTGACAGACACAGTAACTGACATGCTGACAGACACGCTGACAGACACAGTAACTGACATGCTGACAGACACGCTGACAGACACAGTAACTGACATGTTGACACGCTGACAGACACAGTAACTGACATGTTGACACGCTGACAGACACAGTAACTGAGATGCTGACAGACATGCTGACGCTGACAGACACAGTAACTGAGATGCTGACAGACACAGTAACTGACACGCTGACAGACACAGTAACTGACAGACACAGTAACTGACATGCTGACACGCTGACAGACACAGTAACTGACATGTTGACACGCTGACAGACACAGTAACTGACATGTTGACACGCTGACAGACACAGTAACTGACAGACACAGTAACTGACATGCTGACACGCTGACAGACACAGTAACTGACATGTTGACACGCTGACAGACACAGTAACTGACATGTTGACACGCTGACAGACACAGTAACTGAGATGCTGACAGACACAGTAACTGACACGCTGACAGACACAGTAACTGACACGCTGACAGACACAGTAACTGACAGACACAGTAACTGACATGCTGACACGCTGACAGACACAGTAACTGACAGACACAGTAACTGACACGCTGACAGACACAGTAACTGACAGACACAGTAACTGACACGCTGACAGACACAGTAACTGACAGACACAGTAACTGACATGCTGACAGACACAGTAACTGACATGCTGACAGACACGCTGACAGACACAGTAACTGACACGCTGACAGACATGCTGACGCTGACAGACACAGTAACTGACACGCTGACAGACACAGTAACTGACACGCTGACAGACACAGTAACTGACACGCTGACAGACACAGTAACTGACATGTTGACACGCTGACAGACACGCTGACAGACACAGTAACTGACAGACACAGTAACTGACATGCTGACAGACATGCTGACGCTGACAGACACAGTAACTGACATGCTGACAGACATGCTGACGCTGACAGACACAGTAACTGACACGCTGACAGACACAGTAACTGACATGTTGACACGCTGACAGACACGCTGACAGACACAGTAACTGACATGTTGACACGCTGACAGACACAGTAACTGACATGCTGACAGACACAGTAACTGACACGCTGACAGACACGCTGACAGACACAGTAACTGACATGCTGACACTGACAGACACAGTAACTGAGATGCTGACAGACACGCTGACAGACACAGTAACTGACATGCTGACAGACACAGTAACTGACATGCTGACAGACACAGTAACTGACACGCTGACAGACACAGTAACTGACACGCTGACACTGACAGACACAGTAACTGACACGCTGACAGACACAGTAACTGACACGCTGACAGACACGCTTACAGACACAGTAACTTACAGACACGCTGACAGACACAGTAACTGACACGCTGACAGACACAGTAACTGACACGCTGACAGACACAGTAACTGACACGCTGACAGACACAGTAACTGACATGCTGACAGACAAGTAACTGACATGCTGACGCTGACAGACACAGTAACTGACATGCTGACGCTGACAGACACAGTAACTGACATGCTGACGCTGACAGACACAGTAACTGACGTGCTGACGCTGACTGACACAGTAACTGACGTGCTGACACGCTGACTGACACAGTAACTGACGTGCTGACACGCTGACTGACACAGTAACTGACGTGCTGACATGTTGACAGACACGCTGACTGACACAGTAGCTGACACCCTGACTGACACCCTGACAAACACGCTGACAGACACGCTGACAGATATGCTGACTCTCACAGTAACTGACATGCTGTCTGACATGCTGACATGTTGACTGACACGCTGACAGACATGCTGACTCTCACAGTAACTGACATGCTGTCTGACATGCTGACATGTTGACTGACACGCTGACAGACATGCTGACTGTCACAGTAACTGACATGCTGACATGTTGACTGACACGCTGACAGACACGCTGACAGACATGCAGACTGACACAGTAACTGACATGCTAACAGACACACTGACACACTACGGTCGTAGGTGACGGCGTAGGGTAGGGGGCATTTGACATGACATTTTAACTTACATGCTGATGTATCTGTGTGTATTTTCCCGTGTATTACTGCAGTAAAAGTATCCTTGAGGAGTACTGTGAGATCAGCAGCCTGCTGACGGAGGACATTGTTAAAGTCCACCAGGAGATCTCGGCCGCTGTGGAGCAGATCGACCCGCTGACGGAGTACCAGCACTTCATCGACACCTACAGGTCAGAAATCACATTGCATCCGTCCGACTGGTTATTGTCTTAACAGCATGTCCGTGGCTGTCCTGGTTGCCGTGGTAATGGCGTCTGTCCCCCCTCAGGTCTCCGGAGACGCCCGAGGCAAACGTGGAGTTTGACGCATCTCTATTGGAGGAGACAGACAATCTGCCTGCCAATGAGATCCTCTGGAACACGCTGACAGCCGACAGCCTACAGGCCATGTGAGCTACTGCAAAATAAAAGCATCCTGTTTCCTGTACCCTTCCAGAGTAAAAGCCTCTGGGTTTAAACTCCTTCCAAGACCTTACAAAGGTCCCAAAACTTTCCAGGACAGCCCAGGAATATTTTTTGGAAAGGTTTTAATACTTGGAAATGATAAAAGCTTGTGGAAGGATTTATAACCTTGTATAAATCTAAAAACTTTCTAGCCTTTGTTATCTTAATTTGACTTTAAATGTCTGGTTATTTGTTTGTGTTCCAGGTTGTCGTCGGCGACGGAGGAGCTGGAGCTGACTCAGCAGAATCTGCGGACGAAGGAGGCGCTGGCGGACGACCTCGATGCCAGAATCCAGACGAGTCAGCAGAACGCAGAGAGGAAGAGCGAGTGAGTGGACGAGTTAGACGACGAGAGAAGAAGAACGTGCTCTCTCTCTCTCTGACTCTCTGTGTCTCTCGCCCTCAGCTGTGTCCTGCTGCTCAGTCAGAAGCTCTCTCTGCTCGAACTTCATCACGCCGTCCAATCGCTACACGGCTCCGAGGCCCGCCTCGTTTCCCAGAAGGCTCTGCTGGACGCCAAGATGGCATCCGCTGCCGCCTCGCCACCTCCGCCGCCGCCTCCTCCTGCGCTGCCGTATGAGGACGACACCCGCTCCGTCGGATCCACAGTAAATATTTAGTTATTGATAATGGATTGATCTGGCACACAACTGGCAGGAAGAGCTGCCTTTTCAAAATAAAGGCCACACACAGAGCTCAGCTGGATGACTTGTGTCTGAACGTGTGTCTCCAGGATAAAACCAAGGACAGGAGCTCTCGCTTCGACACCCTCCGCAACTCTCTGGTCGGGATGATCCGCACCCCCAAAGCCATGTTGGGCTCCTCCACATCGGTGAGACGCCTGCCATCACTGTCTGTCTCTCCTGCCTGTCTCTCCTGCCTGTCTCTCCTGCCTGTCTCACCTGCCTGTCTCACTTGTCTGTCTCTCCTGTCTGTCTCACTTGTCTGTCTCGCCTGTCTCGCCTGCCTGTCTCTCCTGCCTGTCTCTCCTGCCTGTCTCACTTGTCTGTCTCGCCTGTCTCTCCTGCCTGTCTCGCCTGTCTCTCCTGCCTGTCTCGCCTGCCTGTCTCACTTGTCTGTCTCGCCTGTCTCACTTGTCTGTCTCGCCTGTCTCTCCTGTCTGTCTCGCCTGTCTGTCTCACTTGTCTGTCTCGCCTGTCTCTCCTGCCTGTCTCTCCTGCCTGTCTCACTTGTCTGTCTCGCCTGTCTCTCCTGCCTGTCTCTCCTGCCTGTCTCTCCTGCCTGTCTCACTTGTATGTCGCGCCTGTCTCACTTGTCTATCTCGCCTGTCTCTCCTGCCTGTCTCACTTGTCTGTCTCGCCTGTCTCTCCTGCCTGTCTCTCCTGCCTGTCTCGCCTGTCTCTCCTGTCTGTCTCACTTGTCTGTCTCGCCTGTCTCTCCTGTCTCTCTTGTCTGTCTCGCCTGTCTGTCTCGCCTGTCTGTCTCGCCTGTCTCACTTGTCTGTCTCACCTGTCTCTCCTGTCTGTCTCTCCTGTCTGTCTCTCCTGTCTGTCTCACTTGTCTGTCTCGCCTGTCTCTCCTGTCTCACCTGCCTGTCTCACTTGTCTGTCTCGCCTGTCTCTCCTGCCTGTCTCTCCTGTCTGTCTCACTTGTCTGTCTCGCCTGTCTCGCCTGTCTCTCCTGTCTGTCTCGCCTGTCTGTCTCGCCTGTCTCGCCTGTCTCACCTGTCTGTCTCGCCTGTCTCTCCTGTCTGTCTCGCCTGTCTCACCTGCCTGTCTCTCCTGTCTGTCTCACTCGTCTGTCTCGCCTGTCTCACCTGCCTGTCTCACTTGTCTGTCTCGTCTGTCTCGCCTGTCTCACCTGCCTGTCTCACTTGTCTGTCTCGCCTGTCTCTCCTGTCTGTCTCGCCTGTCTGTCTCACCTGTCTGTCTCACCTGTCTCACCTGTCTCTCCTGTCTGTCTCGCCTGTCTCTCCTGTCTGTCTCTCCTGTCTGTCTCGCCTGTCTCGCCTGTCTCACCTGTCTGTCTCGCCTGTCTCTCCTGTCTGTCTCGCCTGTCTCACCTGCCTGTCTCTCCTGTCTGTCTCACCTGTCTGTCTCTCCTGTCTGTCTCTCCTGTCTGTCTCACTTGTCTGTCTCACTTGTCTGTCTCGCCTGTCTCTCCTGCCTGTCTCTCCTGTCTGTCTCACTTGTCTGTCTCTCCTGCCTGTCTCTCCTGCCTGTCTCTCCTGCCTGTCTCTCCTGTCTGTCTCACTTGTCTGTCTCGCCTGTCTCGTCTGTCTCTCCTGTCTGTCTCTCCTGTCTGTCTCTCCTGTCTGTCTCACTTGTCTGTCTCGCCTGTCTCGTCTGTCTCTCCTGTCTGTCTCTCCTGTCTGTCTCACTTGTCTGTCTCGCCTGTCTCTCCTGCCTGTCTCTCCTGTCTGTCTCGCCTGTCTCACTTGTCTGTCTCACCTGTCTCACCTGCCTGTCTCTCCTGTCTGTCTCGCCTGTCTCTCCTGTCTGTCTCGCCTGTCTCACTTGTCTGTCTCGCCTGTCTCACCTGCCTGTCTCACTTGTCTGTCTCACCTGCCTGTCTCACTTGTCTGTCTCGCCTGTCTCACTTGTCTGTCTCGCCTGTCTCACTTGTCTGTCTCACTTGTCTGTCTCACCTGCCTGTCTCACTTGTCTGTCTCGCCTGTCTGTCTCACCTGCCTGTCTCTCCTGTCTGTCTCGCCTGTCTCTCCTGTCTGTCTCGCCTGTCTCACTTGTCTGTCTCGCCTGTCTCACTTGTCTGTCTCGCCTGTCTCTCCTGTCTGTCTCGCCTGTCTGTCTCTCCTGTCTGTCTCGCCTGTCTCTCCTGTCTGTCTCTCCTGTCTGTCTCGCCTGTCTCTCCTGTCTGTCTCGCCTGTCTCTCCTGCCTGTCTCACTTGTCTGTCTCGCCTGTCTCGTCTGTCTCTCCTGTCTGTCTCTCCTGTCTGTCTCACTTGTCTGTCTCGCCTGTCTCGCCTGTCTCACTTGCCTGTCTCGCCTGTCTCACTTGTCTGTCTCGCCTGTCTCACCTGCCTGTCTCACTTGTCTGTCTCGCCTGTCTCTCCTGTCTCGTCTGTCTCGCCTATCTCTCCTGTCTGTCTCGCCTGTCTCTCCTGTCTCGCCTATCTCTCCTGTCTGTCTCGCCTGTCTGTCTCGCCTGTCTCTCCTGTCTCACCTGTCTCTCCTGTCTGTCTCGCCTGCACTACATTACAGAGTGTTTACTGATGATCAACTCAGGTAATCTGAATCGTTGTGACCCTCGGCGTCTTGTGTCCCTCCCTGCAGCAGTTCTTCGATGTGATCCCGACCTCGGAGCGCCCCCTGCCGGAGCAGGAGTGGTATCACGGCGCCATCCCCCGCACTGAGGCTCAGGAGTTACTACGGCAACAGGGAGACTTCCTGGTGAGGGAGAGTCACGGTAAACCGGGCGAGTACGTCCTGTCGGTGTTTTCTGACGAGCAGAGACGACACTTCATCATCCAGTTCGCCGACGTAAGTGAACACACAGGTAGAGGCTGCACTGACGTCGGGCTCCTCGGGGCCGCTGACGTAGTGTGTGGGGTATATTAGACTTAGCAGTGAGTTCCGCCCACTATCACTATCACGCACCTCAGAGACTTCGCCGTGGGTCGGCCGCATTCAGAAGGAAACGCCAGAGGGATTTAGACTTTTGTTCCTTTCATCTAGGATTGATTTTCTGGGTGATTGACCGACAGAGCTGGCTCCGTGTCTTTGGACCCGTGAAACAGACGATGTAAACATCTGAAACAGTCGGGAGAGTTCAGTCCCAGCCCACAGATGGCTCCGTCTCACGCAGTGTCCTCTGAATGAATTAAGATCTGCTCTCTGCGCTCACCGAGGCTGCAGGGCGTCTCAGCCACAGACTCTATATAACAAACGGACGTAGTCATGGTGACTCCTGATAAGCTTTTTCAGCGGCGCTGGTAACCAGCGACGAGGGTACGAGTCACTCTAGCCTGATTGACAGGTAACGACCTGTCAATCATAGATAGTCCCGCCCTGAAAGTTACTGAGGGAATAAACCAGCTGAGAAGTAGAACAGTTTCCTGTTATCTCTAAAGGAGCCGGACTTCTTTCTGCAACCTGAAGAGTCGCCCCCTGCTGGCCGTTCAATAGAATGCAGCTTTCAGGGACTTCCACATTGCACAGACGGGGCGTATTAACGCTCCTCCTGGGTAACGGCGAGCACAGACGGGGCGTATTGTGTTGCCCCAGACTTTCTGTGTCAGTAAATGACGTGCTGAGTCCGCCGGCCGGTGAGGAGGAGGTGAAACTGAACAGTGTCTCTCTCTCCCTCTGGTAGAGTCAGTACCGCTTTGAAGGGACGGGCTTCTCCACCATCCCTCAGCTCATCGAGCATCACTTCTCCACCAAGCAGGTCATCACCAAGAAGTCCGGAGTGGTGCTGCTCAACCCCGTCGTCAAGGCAACCACACCTGCACACACACACATAACTGTACATGTGTACTCTGTGTAAATGTACACAGATGTGTGTATTGTGTGTACATGTACTCATGTGTGTCAGTTTCCCTCTGCAGGATAAAAAGTGGATCCTGAACCATGAGGACGTGGTGCTGGGGGAGCTGTTGGGAAAGGTGACCTCACTTCCTGTTTCCTCCCGTCACCAGTCACCTCTTCACCCCTAAACGTGTTTAACGTGTGTCTTTCTGCCTCCATGTCCCATCATGCCCTGCTGCTTGCTGGTTGCCAGGGAAACTTTGGCGAGGTGTTTAAAGGGACGCTGCAACGCGACAAAATGCCAGTCGCCATCAAAACGTGTAAAGAAGATTTACCGCCAGAGCTGAAGATCCGGTTCCTGTCCGAAGCCAGGTCAGTTGCATACCAACAGGAAGTCAACAAAGAAAGCTCAGCTGCTAGCTCAGCTGCCTGTCTGTGATTGGCTGCTGTCTCACGCTGCCTGTCTGTGATTGGCTGTAGGATCCTGAAGCAGTACGACCACCCGAACATCGTAAAGCTGATTGGCGTCTGTACGCAGCGACAGCCGATCTACATCGTCATGGAGCTGGTTCCTGGTGGGTGGAGCTCATTTTTCCCTCTAGTCTGATTGGTCAGCTGCTGTTTCCGTACTGTGTCGGTTTGAACCTCCGCTGTGTCTGGCAGGTGGAGACTTTTTGTCCTTTCTGAGGAAGAAGAAAGACGAGCTAAAGACGAAGCAGCTGGTTCGGTTCTCTGTCGACGCTGCTGCCGGCATGGCGTACCTGGAGAGCAAGAACTGCATCCACAGGTAAACAACCAGAGCGTGACCACGTCACCTGTCCAGGTGTCAGCTACACTTCACTAACTCCTTCTAGTTTCTCCTCATAAATTACAACATGTTAGGAAGTATTCTGTGATCATGTGACTTCCTGTTCATGCTTCACAATTAAAGCACTGCACCAGCTGACAGCTGTGAGGATTTATTGTGGAGCAGCTCAGTTCCTCCCACTGGTTGCTCTCAGTACTGCAGCTCAGGCGTCTGTCTCCACCTGTCTGTCTCTCAGGGACCTGGCAGCGAGGAACTGTCTGGTGGGAGAGGGCAGCGTGTTGAAGATCAGTGATTTTGGGATGAGTCGTCAGGAAGACGACGGGATTTACTCTTCATCTGGACTCAAACAGATCCCCATCAAATGGACTGCTCCAGAGGCTCTCAACTACGGTAACACCTGTCTCACTCGCGTCTCACTCCTGACTCACTCCTGTCTGACTCGCGTCTCACTCCTGTCTGACTCGCGTCTCACTCCTGTCTGACTCGCGTCTCACTCCTGTCTGACTCGCGTCTCACTCCCGTCTCACTCCTGTCTGACTCCCGTCTCACTCCTGTCTGACTCGCGTCTCACTCCTGTCTCACTCCTGTCTCACTCCTGTCTCACTCGCGTCTCACTCCTGACTCACTCCTGTCTGACTCGCGTCTCACTCCTGTCTGACTCGCGTCTCACTCCTGACTCCTGTCTGACTCGCGTCTCACTCCTGTCTGACTCGCGTCTCACTCGCGTCTCACTCCTGACTCACTCCTGTCTCACTCGCGTCTCACTCCTGTCTCACTCGCGTCTCACTCCTGACTCACTCCTGTCTGACTCGCGTCTCACTCCTGTCTGACTCGCGTCTCACTCCTGTCTGACTCGCGTCTCACTCGCGTCTCACTCCTGTCTGACTCGCGTCTCACTCCTGTCTGACTCGCGTCTCACTCCCGTCTCACTCCTGTCTGACTCGCGTCTCACTCCTGTCTCACTCCTGTCTCACTCGCGTCTCACTCCTGACTCACTCCAGTCTGACTCCTGTCTCACTCCTGTCTCACTCCTGTCTCACTCCTGTCTCACTCCTGTCTCACTCGCGACTCACTCCTGTCTCACTCGCGTCTCACTCCTGACTCACTCCAGTCTGACTCCAGTCTGACTCCTGTCTCACTCCTGTCTCACTCCTGTCTCACTCCTGTCTCACTCGCGACTCACTCCTGTCTCACTCGCGACTCACTCCTGTCTCACTCGCGACTCACTCCTGTCTCACTCGCGTCTCACTCCTGTCTCACTCGCGACTCACTCCTGTCTGACTCGTGTCTGACTCCTGTCTCACTCCTGTCTGACTCGCGACTCACTCCTGTCTGACTCGCGTCTCACTCCTGTCTGACTCGCGTCTCACTCGCGTCTCACTCCTGACTCACTCCTGACTCACTCCAGTCTGACTCCTGTCTCACTCCTGTCTCACTCGCGTCTCACTCCTGACTCACTCCAGTCTGACTCCAGTCTGACTCCTGACTCACTCCTGTCTGACTCGCGTCTCACTCCTGTCTGACTCGCGTCTCACTCCTGTCTGACTCGCGTCTCACTCCCGTCTCACTCCTGTCTGACTCGCGTCTCACTCCTGTCTGACTCGCGTCTCACTCCCGTCTCACTCCTGTCTGACTCGCGTCTCACTCCCGTCTCACTCCCGTCTCACTCGCGTCTCACTCCTGACTCACTCCAGTCTGACTCCTGTCTCACTCCTGTCTCACTCGCGACTCACTCCCGTCTCACTCCTGTCTGACTCGCGTCTCACTCCTGTCTGACTCGCGTCTCACTCCCGTCTCACTCCTGTCTGACTCGCGTCTCACTCCTGTCTGACTCGCGTCTCATTCCAGTCTGACACGCGTCTCACTCGCGTCTCACTCCTGTCTGACTCGCGTCTCACTCCCGTCTCACTCCTGCCTGACTCCCGTCTCACTCCTGTCTGACTCGCGTCTCACTCCCGTCTCACTCCTGTCTGACTCGCGTCTCACTCCCGTCTCACTCCCGTCTCACTCCTGTCTCACTCGCGTCTCACTCCTGACTCACTCCTGACTCACTCCTGACTCACTCCAGTCTGACTCCAGTCTGACTCCTGTCTCACTCCTGTCTCACTCGCGTCTCACTCCTGTCTCACTCGTGTCTCACTCCTGACTCACTCCAGTCTGACTCCAGTCTGACTCCTGTCTCACTCGCGACTCACTCCTGTCTGACTCGTGACTGACTCCTGACTCACTCCTGTCTGACTCGCGTCTCACTTGCGTCTCACTCGCGTCTCACTCCTGACTCACTCCAGTCTGACTCCAGTCTGACTCCTGTCTCACTCGCGACTCACTCCTGTCTCAATCCTGTCTCAATCCTGTCTCACTCCTGACTCACTCCTGTCTCACTCCTGTCTCACTCGCGACTCACTCCTGTCTGACTCGTGACTGACTCGTGACTGACTCCTGTCTCAATCCTGTCTCACTCCTGACTCACTCCTGGCTGACTCCTGGCTGACTCGCGTCTCACTCCTGTCTGACTCGCGTCTCACTCCTGTCTGACTCGCGTCTCACTCCTGTCTGACTCGCGTCTCACTCGCGTCTCACTCCTGTCTGACTCGCGTCTCACTCCTGTCTGACTCGCGTCTCACTCCTGACTCACTCCTGTCTGACTCCAGTCTGACTCCTGTCTGACTCCAGTCTGACTCCTGTCTCACTCCTGTCTGACTCGCGACTCACTCCTGTCTGACTCGCGTCTCACTCCTGTCTCAATCCTGTCTGACTCGCGTCTCACTCCTGTCTGACTCGCGTCTCACTCCTGACTCACTCCTGTCTGACTCGTGACTCACTCCTGGCTGACTCCTGGCTGACTAGCGTCTCACTCCTGGCTGACTCGCGACTCACTCCTGGCTGACTAGCGTCTCACTCCTGGCTGACTCGCGACTCACTCCTGGCTGACTCGCGACTCACTCCTGGCTGACTCGCGACTGACTCCTGTCTCACTCGCGACTGACTCCTGTCTCAATCCTGTCTCACTCCTGACTCACTCCTGGCTGACTCCTGGCTGACTCCTGGCTCACTCCTGGCTGACTCCTGGCTGACTCCTGGCTGACTCGCGTCTCACTCCTGGCTGACTCGCGTCTCACTCCTGGCTGACTCGCGACTCACTCCTGGCTGACTCCTGGCTGACTCGCGTCTCACTCCTGGCTGACTCGCGACTCACTCCTGGCTCACTCCTGGCTGACTCGCGTCTCACTCCTGGCTGACTCGCGACTCACTCCTGGCTCACTCCTGGCTGACTCGCGTCTCACTCCTGGCTGACTCGCGACTCACTCCTGGCTGACTCGCGACTCACTCCTGGCTGACTCGCGACTCACTCCTGGCTGACTCCTGGCTCACTCCTGGCTGACTCGCGACTCACTCCTGGCTGACTCGCGACTCACTCCTGGCTGACTCCTGGCTGACTCGTGACTGACTCCTGTCTCACTCCTGTCTGACTCCTGTCTGACTCCTGTCTGACTCCTGTCTGACTCCTGTCTGACTCCTGGCTGACTCGCGTCTCACTCCTGGCTGACTCGCGTCTCACTCCTGGCTGACTCGTGACTCACTCCTGACTCACTCCTGTCTGACTCGCGACTCACTCCTGGCTGACTCGCGACTCGCGACTCACTCCTGGCTGACTCGCGACTCACTCCTGGCTGACTCGCGACTCACTCCTGGCTGACTCCTGGCTCACTCCTGGCTGACTCCTGGCTCACTCCTGGCTGACTCGCGACTCACTCCTGGCTGACTTGCGATTCACTCCTGGCTGACTCGCGACTCACTCCTGGCTGACTCGCGACTCACTCCTGGCTGACTCGCGACTCACTCCTGGCTGACTCCTGGCTGACTCCTGGCTGACTCCTGGCTGACTCCTGGCTGACTCGCGACTCACTCCTGGCTGACTCGCGACTCACTCCTGGCTGACTCGTGACTGACTCCTGTCTCACTCCTGTCTCACTCCTGTCTCACTCCTGTCTCACTCCTGACTCACTCCTGGCTGACTCGTGACTCACTCCTGGCTGACTCCTGGCTGACTCGCGTCTCACTCCTGGCTGACTCGTGACTCACTCCTGTCTGACTCGTGACTGACTCCTGTCTCACTCCTGTCTCACTCCTGACTCACTCCTGTCTCACTCCTGACTCACTCCTGTCTGACTCGTGACTCACTCCTGGCTGACTCCTGGCTGACTCGCGTCTCACTCCTGTCTGACTCGTGACTCAATCCTGACTCACTCCTGTCTCACTCGCGTCTCACTCCTGACTCACTCCAGTCTGACTCCAGTCTCACTCCAGTCTCACTCCTGTCTCACTCGCGACTCACTCCTGTCTGACTCCTGTCTCACTCCCTTCTCACTCCTGTCTCACTCCTGACTCACTCCTGTCTCACTCCTGTCTCACTCGCGTCTCACTCCTGGCTGACTTGCGATTCACTCCTGGCTGACTTGCGATTCACTCCTGTCTGACTCGCGTCTCACTCCTGACTCACTCGCGTCTCACTCGCGTCTCACTCCTGGCTCACTCCTGTCTGACTCACTCCTGTCTGACTCCTGTCTGACTCGCGTCTCACTCCTGACTCACTCGCGTCTCACTCGCGTCTCAATCCTGTCTCAATCCTGACTGACTCGCGTCTCACTTCTGTCACACTCCTGTCTGACTTGTGACCAACTCCTGTCTCAATCCTGACTCAAGCCTGTCTCACTCGTCTCTGACTCGTGACTCACGCCTGTCTGACTCGTGACTCACGCCTGCCTTACACCTCACTCCTTGACTCAGGCCTGTCTCACTCACGTCTCACTCCTGACTGTCTCAGTCCTGCTGACTGTCTCCTGCTCTCTGATTGGTCACTGCAGGGCGTTACAGCTCAGAGAGTGATGTGTGGAGTTACGGCATCCTCCTGTGGGAGACCTTCAGTCTGGGGGTGTGTCCTTATCCTGGGATGACCAATCAGCAGGCCCGAGAGCAGGTGGAGAAAGGTAAACACAGTTTATATTAGTAATCACATGAAGAAAATACAGTTTGTAAAATGATAGAAGTCATTATTATAAAACTTTCACACATAACATACAATATTATAGAAGTGTAGTCTCCGCCTCTCACCTGACCAGGTGACTCCAGGTGCTCTAAGAGAATAACCCCCCCCTCCCTGGTTGCTAGGTTACAGGATGGCGTGCCCTCAGCGTTGCCCTGAAGACGTATACAAAGTTATGCAGCGCTGCTGGCAGTATAACCCTGAAGAGCGGCCCAAGTTCTCCGAGCTGCAGCGAGACCTGGCCGCCATCAAGAAGAAGTGATGACATCATCACACACCTTGCCGCCGCCGCTGCCATTAAGAACTGATGACGCCATCACGCACCTCGCCTCATCAGCATCAGTTTAGCCCCGTCCTCAGCAGCAGAAGAGTTCCCTTTTTCAGGCTTCTTTGTGGTGGGTGTGGTCAGCAGGTGGAGGTGATGCAACAAGAAGTATTTTTAAAATGTTTCGGGGGAAACACAAAAAAGCAGAAAGGCTGCGCCACCTGATGAGCAGCTGAACAAACATTTAAATCAGACAGGTTGACCTGCTGCTGTTAACATGTAGCTGATGTTGGAACTCGTTAAACTATAACTCACGTGTGAAGGACGCCTCGAGGTTAGCACGGACAAAGCTAGCATCTGAAAACACGTCGACACTACAGCCAGCCTGTTGGTCAAACAGGAAGTTTGCTCATCGAGCTAACGACTTACCAGATGCTAATAAGTTCAGACGCGGTCACATACTGATCAGGACGCGATGACAGAAGCCCCTAATCTTTCTTTAAAGAGAATTTTAAACCTCCTTTCAGCTGAAAATCAGACGTCTTCATGGTTAGATGTCTGTAGAGCGCCATGACCCCTAGCGTTTCACACAAGGTCACATTCACACCCTCAACAGCCTCCAGGAGCAGTTTGGGGTTCAGTATTTTGCCCAAGGACACTTTGTCATGCAGACCGGGGGAGCCGGGGATCGAAGCACCGACCTGCTGATAAGTGGACGACCCCCTGAGCCACAGCCGCCCCGTTCTGCAGTCACATGATGTAACTGTAACGTCTTTTTACAGGCCGAAGCTGAAAGCAGTGACGTCGGCTGTCTGAGCCGTTAGCTTAAAGGCTAACATGTGTTTCCATGTCATGCTGGTGCTGAAGTGACTCGTAGGCTCAGAGAGGTTCGGGTCCAGATGCTGCAGCCAAACTCCTTCGGCTCAGACTGTAACACCAGGTGACACCACGAAGGATCCGAGGACTCCCGCCGACCCCCTTGGTTTCTAACAGGAAGCCGAAGTCTCTGAAATCTGCTCAGGTTCAGTTTATTATCTGATTTGTTACAAACCAACCACCTGTAGTCGGTGCAAGCTAACAGATTAGCTTGCAGGTGTTAGCGGCCTGTGTAATGAGCCTCTAATGCTACAGTTTATCATCAGCGTCTCAGAGCTCAGCTGATTGGATAGGAGGAACAGACCTCTCTTCCTGTTTCTGTTGATCAGCTGACATGCAGCGTGTGTGTTTGTGCGTTTGTGTGTGTCAGCAGGAAGCTTTAATGAACCGTTGTCATTCCCAGAGCGTCTCAGCTACGCTTTGTACCGGCGCACACGGCAGCGTTATAGTTCAACGCTAAAAGTCCCACAGAAGAGTCCAAGGAGGTGTCCGGGCTGGACGGTGGGCCAGAAACCGGACCTTCACCCTTGGGGCCCGTCTTTGTTTCCCACGTGAAACAAAAAGTCAGCTTTGGTTCCTTTTACTTATGTTAAGTTCTCTACTTTAAGTCAGGCGGTTATTTTAACCCAAACCCTGATCTTTTCCTAAACAAATTGCAACGCTTCACGTTAAACACTAGTTTTATTTTGAAAGTCTAACAGGATGTATGTGCATATTTATTCTTGATAACTTGACCGTGGCGCCCTACATGTACAGGCGCCCACACGTGACGCCCTGTGATGAGAAGGTGTTGGACCTGAAGTCCGGAGCCTCGAACACTCAAATCGTTTCAACACTAAAAAAAATTCTGACACTTTTACTAAATAAGCTAAAAAGGATTCGAGCCACGCCCCCCTGTCACTGCGGTAACCATAGCAACAGCTCAAACACTAAAAACGTTTCTGCTGCTGAGGACCAATCAGCTGTCAGCACCAACACTGTTTCTACTTTTATTTATTTATGTTTTGACTTTATAAACTGACCTTTATTCTGAAAAAACAGCTGTCAATCATCACACAGACCACGCCCACTCTGATCTTTGTTGTTTTAAGGAAATGTTTTTGACCAATCAGAGACTTCAATTATTTTGTTGTTTCTAAAAGTTAATTTGCTTTATTAAAGCATTAAATTTATAAAAATAAAATGACATCATCGGCACTTATATCTCCTGGTTGTCGTGGTAACTGAAATGATGTTGGACCCTTAAAATGTTTAAAAAAGACAAAGTTTAATATAAGTATCTGTGTAAATGAAAGGTGAGTCCTGATTGGTCAACATCACTTCCTGGACTGTGTGAGGGCGGAGCCTAAGTGTTAGTGATGTCAGAGCGCCGCCTACTGTTACTGTAAATAAACAGATGTTTTCTGACTTTTTAACACTAATTGTCTTTTATATCTGTTGAAACTTTATAAAAACATTATTGTAGCATTTATTATGAAAATAAACAAATCATATGATCAAATACGGCATGATGACATCATTCGTTTTCATATAAATATCAGATCAGCCCCACACACTCAGGACGGACAGGAAGTGTGTGTCGCGCAGTAAGTCAGTTTCTCAGGTGTTCCTGGACAAAATGGCGTCTGCGCCGTCAAAGAATCACGGTGTCACTTTAAATTCACGTAAACATTTTATTGTGTTTTATCAAAACTGTAAACTCCCAAATAAGGTCGGCAGCGTGGCCGGCTTGGGGTGGGGCTTGTAGCCGATTCGCTCGTTAATGAGCTCCGTCCTCGACGCCGACGAGGAAGAGGCTGAGGCCCCGCCCCCGATGATGTCAACACTGATGACGGAAGCCCCGGCCTCTCTGCCTCCTGACTCTGCCTCCTCTCGCTGACGCTTCCTGGCCTGGGAAAAAAAATAAAAAAATCAATAAAATGTTACATGGTGATGTCATCATGTGACTGACACCAGGTAGGTTTATTGTCACATAAGTTATAGAGTGAAAACTCCCTTCTGCTACCAGAAGCACTTCTAAACATGGAAACAGAAACTCATCAGTGGAGCTGAGGATGAGTCAGAGTTTAAGAGTCTGATGGCTTGGGGGGAAAAGCTGCTCTGCAGAAACTCCTCTCTCTCCTCCCAGAAGGCAGCAGGGCGAACGGGCTGTGGCTGGGTGGGTTCTGTCCTTTGGGCTCTGCAGGCACCTCACCGATATCACTGATGCTTCTGAGCGGTTTGATCACACGCTGCAGAGCCCGAACCATTTATTGGCCATCAGGGACGGGAACAACGTTACATGATCGACAGTACTGACGGATACGGACGGGTAGGTATCGGAGTATTAATAGATATCGACTCGACAGATACTGACGGGGATATAGAAAAGTAGTCTGTACCTCGAGCTCCTTCTTGACGCTCTCGAACTCCTCTGTGTCGTCGATCTTCAGCTCCAGTCGAGTTGGTTTCCTCCTCAACATCTTCAGTCTGTAAACTGAGGAACCTTCAGAGAACAGACGTGACATTAGAGAGGAACCGACAGAGACCAGGCGTGACATTAGAGAGGAACCTTCAGAGACCAGGCGTGACATTAGAGAGGAACCTTCAGAGACCAGGCGTGACATTAGAGAGGAACCTTCAGAGAACAGACATGACATTAGAGAGGAACCGACAGAGACCAGGCGTGACATTAGAGAGGAACCTTCAGAGAACAGACGTGACATTAGAGAGGAACCTTCAGAGAACAGACATGACATTAGAGAGGAACCTTCAGAGAACAGACGTGACATTAGAGAGGAACCGACAGAGACCAGGCGTGACATTAGAGAGGAACCTTCAGAGAACAGACGTGACATTAGAGAGGAACCGACAGAGACCAGGCGTGACATTAGAGAGGAACCTTCAGAGAACAGACATGACATTAGAGAGGAACCTTCAGAGAACAGTGACATTAGAGAGAACCGACAGAGACCAGGCGTGACATTAGAGAGGAACCTTCAGAGAACAGACGTGACATTAGAGAGGAACCGACAGAGACCAGCGTGACATTAGAGAGGAACCTTCAGAGAACAGACATGACATTAGAGAGGAACCTTCAGAGACAGACATGACATTAGAGAGGAACCTTCAGAGACCAGACGTGACATTAGTGAGGAACCTTTCAGAGAACAGACGTGACATTAGTGAGGAACCGACATTAGAGAGGAACCTTTCAGAGAACAGACGTGACATTAGAGAGGAACCTTCAGAGACCAGACGTGACATTAGTGAGGAACCGACATTAGAGAGGAACCTTTCAGAGAACAGACGTGACATTAGAGAGGAACCTTCAGAGACCAGACATTAGAGAGGAACCTTCAGAGACCAGACGTGACATTAGAGAGGAACCTTCAGAGACCAGACGTGACATTAGAGAGGAACCTTCAGAGACCAGACGTGACATTAGAGGAACCGACATTAGAGAGGAACCTTTCAGAGAACAGACGTGACATTAGAGAGGAACCTTTCAGAGAACAGACGTGACATTAGAGAGGAACCTTCAGAGACCAGACGTGACATTAGAGGAACCGACATTATAGAGGAACCTTCAGAGACCAGACGTGACATTAGTGAGGAACCTTCAGAGAACAGACGTGACATTAGAGAGGAACCTTCAGAGAACAGACGTGACATTAGAGAGGAACCTTTCAGAGACCAGACGTGACATTAGAGAGGAACCTTCAGAGAACAGACGTGACATTAGAGAGGAACCTTCAGAGACCAGACGTGACATTAGAGGAACCGACATTAGAGAGGAACCTTTCAGAGAACAGACGTGACATTAGAGAGGAACCTTCAGAGACCAGACGTGACATTAGAGAGGAACCTTCAGAGACCAGACGTGACATTAGAGAGGAACCTTTCAGAGACCAGACGTGACATTAGAGAGGAACCTTCAGAGACCAGACGTGACATTAGAGAGGAACCTTCAGAGACCAGACGTGACATTAGTGAGGAACCGACATTAGAGAGGAACCTTTCAGAGAACAGACGTGACATTAGAGAGGAACCTTCAGAGACCAGACGTGACATTAGAGGAACCGACATTAGAGAGGAACCTTTCAGAGAACAGACGTGACATTAGAGAGGAACCTTCAGAGACCAGACGTGACATTAGAGAGGAACCTTCAGAGACCAGACGTGACATTAGTGAGGAACCGACATTGGAGAGGAACCTTCAGAGACCAGACGTGACAGTTTTTTGTATCAGCTAATAGGGATCCTAATAAAATCAAATAAAACTTTAGTGAGGAACCTTTAGAGAACAAGCTCAGGCTGAGCCGACAGGTTCTCCAGTTCTCCGGTCAGCTCCTCCTGCAGACTCAGAACCCTTCACCTATCAGATGTTTAGCTACTTCAATGGCTAACAGAGCTTTAAACCCTTGGCACTTTGATAGTCACTAGTAACAGGACTAGGTTCTCCTGGGTCAGAACATAACTGGGTTCTCCTGATAGTTTGGACCTAAAGTCGTGACTAAGGTAAGCAGCCAATGAGAGGTCAGAGCTGGAGGCCCATCGTCATGGTTACAGGGCGCAGCAGAAAGCCCGATCGACACTTAAATGAATCAATGTGCTGCAGCTAACAGACCTGCTGGTTCACCATTAGTGAGTTTAAGTCGGGGTCCGGTACTGAGGACTCAGACCCCGGAGCAGCTGAGCCACTGATCCCGCACCAGCTCGGTCATACTTTACGTCCTGACGTGACGGTTTCCCGCTCGGGCTGAACGGTAGGGTTACAGCTGCTGTGGTGAGAGTAAAGTTACCTGACAGGTGTGCTACAGGTGTGCTGCTGCTGCGGCTGCGGTGTTTCCCGGGCTCGCTCCGCTCTGTGTACCGGAAGAACTACCTTCTTCTTCTTCTTCTTCTTGTAAGATTCCGGCAGTGTAGAGGCTTATGAGCGTATTACTGCCCTCCACAGGTCAAAGTTTGAACTAAATTCTTACAAACAGTCCTGTGTCATGCAAGAATTGAAGGACTGCCTTGGAGATCAGTTTATGCTCCTCACTGTGCCCAAACAAAGAGAAACCAGAAAAAGCCTCAACTCAAGTCCTGACAGTTTATTAAAGAGGAAAACATGCGCTATTGTCTCGAGACTCCCACATTCACACAGAAACATGCTTCCCTACAAAGCACAAAGAATAATTTAATCCACGGTGCCTCCACCTCAATCTGCACATTTTAACGGAGTCCCTGCGGGACAAAATGTTATTCCGTCCGGGTCACGCCGATGACGCGTTTACGTCCGAGTCACGCTGAGGACGTGTTTACATCCGGGTCACGCCGCTCGCAGACGCCGCAGCTTCGTTTCTGTTCGCGTGAGTTTTTAATTAAACCTTTTATGTTTGAACTTTATCACCTGAGAGACGCACCTGCCGCGGGTCTGCTCAGGTGTGACGCAGCGTGACGCAGCGTGACGCAGCCTTCTTGGTGTTTGTGTGGATGCTAATGCTAACGCTAGCCGTGTGTTCCCTCGGTTTGTTCTTCTCTCCTGTTCTCGAAGTTCCTCTCTGTTCTTTCTAACACCGAGGACCTCACCGTGGCCACCTCCCTCTGAGCGGGGTCATTACGACCGAGGCCCCTGAGGGCCACGGCCGGAACGTGTAGGGGGACCGACGGTATTGCTGGCCCCTCGCGGTCTTTTCTTCTTCATGAACATGCGGTTCACGCGCAGGGAGTCGGGGTCCAGCAGAGACCAGACCAGGGTCCCTGGCCCCGGGTCCCACAGGGTCTGCTGGACCCCGACTCCCTGCGCGTGAAGCGATATGAACAGATGTGTGTGAGCTGCTGGATCAGACCTGCAGACTGGAAACAGGGTTTCCTCCCGTGAACCTTGGTCTTCAGGTCCACAGGCGTTCAGCCGGGCCCCGGTCTAACGCCTTCCTGTCGTTCTCTCTAAGCCTCCGCTGGAAGGTCCTCGCCAGTCTGATTCCACTGATTGTGGACTCGGGATCGTGTTCTGGTTCAGACTGCACTGAATTATGAACCCCGCAGCAGGGTCTCAGTTCTGATTGGTAGTTAAACCTGAAGCGGTCAGCCACGATTTCACTCTTCGACCACAAAGTCTCGGCCCACAATTCTGTTAAATAACAGAACGCCACTGCTGCCGGGGTTTCAGACTCCCCGGTTTGCCCCTGGTGGCTTTTTCAGAAATCTGTTTCCTGTTTGTTCTGAGCGCTGCTGGGAGGCAGCATCGCTGTCGCCCGTAAGAAAAGGATCCATGATTAAAGGCTGCTCTGTGATTGGCCTTCCCCCTGAGTCACGTAGAGAAGAGAGCCATGTAGACCAGGGCAGTCGGTGGCAGTACTGTTATTATGTTAAAATATGAATGAGCTGTCTATGAAGATCCAGGTCATAGTTACCCAACGAAGGTTAAAGTCAAGGGCAACTGGACTTGGTTGAAGATACTGGAAGACGTTTCGTCCCTCATCCGTTACAGTTGTTAAGACTAGGTGAAGATACCAACGATGGTCGTTCAGTCTTGGCCTCAGGTGAAGATACCAACGATGGTCGTTCAGTCTTGGCCTCAGGTGAAGATACCAACGATGGTCGTTCAGTCTTGGCCTCAGGTGAAGATACCAACGATGGTCGTTCAGTCTTGGCCTCAGGTAGTCCTAACGACTGTAACGACTGTCGTCACAGCAACAAGGAACACTAACGAACCAGCGGTATCGATGACCCGGGCCAACGACCCCACTGAGGTTAAATAGCTGAGTTTCCCTGCCAGTCAGTCAGAACTGAAGAAGTCCTTTGGATGAGGGACGAAACGTCTTCCAGTATCTTCAACCAAGTCCAGCTGCCCTTCATTTTAACCTTCGTTGGATATGAATGATGTGCGTTGTCATTTTATGTAATATAGCTCACCGCTGGTATAGATATAAACTGAAGTTTCTTGTTTTCATTCATTAAATCCTTTAATTTGTTAATGCTGCTATCTCATCAGAACCATTCATGCAGAACAAGTTCAACATTTGAAAGTTTACTGTAGAATGTAAAACTTTATTTTATGTCCCGCCCCATTCAGGCTGTGATTGGTCGATCAATTTTAAGAAAAGTTCGACATGTTTCAACAAAAGGCTCCCGATACAGCTAAACAGCCAGCTCGCTAAACCCACAACCTCCTGATCTTCCTCCTGATCTTCCCCCTGCTGTCTTCTGCCTCGCCGCTCCAGTGCTGACATCTGTCTTTGTTTTGAAACGAGGCCGCCAAGCGACCCGCCCACCGGGATCTCTCCCGTGCTCTGGTGACTAGCTGGCTTTGTTCCTGCCAGAGTTTCAACAACTCTCATAAGATTGACACCAGCTTTGCGTCACGCCCTGCCCGCTACTTGGGGCGGGATTATGGTAGGTTGAGGTTACTCGCACATTGTATGTTCCCTCCAGGGGCAGGGGCGCGTCACCCGTCCAGGGGCAGGGGTGCGTCACCCGTCCAGGGGCAGGGGCGCGTCACCCGTCCAGGGGCAGGGGCGCGTCACCCGTCCAGGGGCAGGGGCGCGTCACCCGTCCAGGGGCAGGGGCGCGTCACCCGTCCAGGGGCAGGGGCGCGTCACCCGTGCAGGGGCAGGGGCAGGGGTGCGTCACCCGTGCAGGGGCAGGGGCAGGGGTGCGTCACCCGTCCAGGGGCAGGGGCGCGTCACCCGTCCAGGGGCAGGGGTGCGTCACCCGTCCAGGGGCAGGGGCGCGTTCCTGCTCAGCCGGTTCAGTACCAACGCACAACTTTGAGAGGATTTCTTGACTTTTAACCAAAGTGTGGTGAAACTTTCGTGTGAGCTCATTGGAAATATGTTTCCTGATCAAACCGTGTTTATTTCTCTGTAGGTTTCCCAGCAGCCTCTGGGGCAGCAGCAGAACTGAATCAAAATGTCCGACGAGGAGGATGTGGCTCCGGCCATGAAGAGGAGCCGTGTGTTCTACGGTAGCCTGGAGGAAAAAGAGCGCGAGCGGCTGAAATCGGAGGCGGCGAGCAGCGCATCAACAGGAAGTGATGCGGTGAAGGCGGGCATCGAGGCGGGGAACATCAACATCTCGTCAGGTCGGTCCCACGTTGTAAACAGAAGGATGTAAATGTGTGTGCGACGTGTGACTGAGACTCCGTTTCCCATGATGCTGTGCAGGAGAGACTCTGGAGCTGGAGGAGCGCGTCAGCGAGCGTCAGCAGGAAGCCCTCGCCGCGTTTGAGCGGAGGCGGCGAGCGCGGCAGATCACCGTCTCCACCGACGACGCAGAGGTGAAGGCCGGCCTCCGGGCGCTCGGAGAGCCAATAACGTTGTTCGGAGAGGGACCGGCTGACCGCCGGGAGAGGTGCGTTTAAATGACGTGTTTAAACGTTATTTAAAGGTTTGAGTAGATCAGAGAGACGTGTTCACGTACCGACTATCCGTTCAGCAGTAATATCTGATCTATCGATAACGAAACGATCATCAGCTCTAATATCAGCTTCAGACGGTAGAGAGGAGGACGGGACCAGGTCCTCCTGGAGGCGTTGGTGTCAGGGACCAGGTCCTCCTGGAGGCGTTGGTGTCAGGGTCCAGGTCCTCTTGGAGGCGTTGGTGTCAGGGACCAGGTCCTCCTGGAGGCGTTGGTGTCAGGGTCCAGGTCCTCCTGGAGGCGTTGGTGTCAGGGACCAAGTCCTCCTGGAGGCGTTGGTGTCAGGGACCAGAGGTGTCAGGGACCAAGTCCTCCTGGAGGCGTTGGTGTCAGGGACCAAGTCCTGGGACCAGGTCCTCCTGGAGGCGTTGGTGTCAGGGACCAGAGGTGTCAGGGACCAAGTCCTCCTGGAGGCGTTGGTGTCAGGGACCAAGTCCTGGGACCAGGTCCTCCTGGAGGCGTTGGTGTCAGGGACCAGAGGTGTCAGGGACCAAGTCCTGGGACCAGGTCCTCCTGGAGGCGTTGGTGTCAGGGACCAAGTCCTGGGACCAGGTCCTCCTGGAGGCGTTGGTGTCAGGGACCAGAGGTGTCAGGGACCAGGTCCTCCTGGAGGCGTTGGTGTCAGGGACCAACCGTGTGTTTGTGTTTGTGTCTGTGCATCAGGCTGCGCAGCGTTCTGTCTGTGGTCGGTCCGGATGCTCTGAAGAAGTCCAGGAGAGACGAGGAGAGAGCCAAGAGGACCCAGGACGAGGTGAGAGAGGAGGAGGAGGAGGAGGGAGGTGGAGGGAGGGAGGGAGGAGGGAGGGGAGGAGCCAAGAGGACCCAGGACGAGGTGAGAGAGGAGGAGGAGGAGGAGGGAGGTGGAGGGAGGGAGGGAGGAGGGAGGGGAGGAGCCAAGAGGACCCAGGACGAGGTGAGAGAGGAGGAGGAGGAGGAGGAGGAGGAGGAGGAGGGAGGGAGGAGGGAGGGAGGAGCCAAGAGGACCCAGGAAGAGGTGAGAGAGGAGGAGGAGGAGGAGGAGGGAGGTGGAGGAGGGAGGGAGGGAGGGAGGGAGGGAGGAGGGAGGGGAGGAGCCAAGAGGACCCAGGACGAGGTGGAGAGGAGGAGGAGGAGGAGGAGAGAGGAGGGGGGGAGGAGCCAAGAGGACCCAGGAAGAGGTGAGAGAGGAGGAGGGAGGTGGAGGGAGGGAGGGAGGGAGGGAGGGAGGAGGGAGGGGAGGAGCCAAGAGGACCCAGGACGAGGTGGAGAGAGGAGGAGGAGGAGGAGGGAGGGAGGAGGAGGAGGGAGAGGAGAGGAGGAGGGGAGGAGCCAAGAGGACCCAGGAAGAGGTGAGGGAGGAGGAGGAGGAGGAGGAGGGGGGGAGAGGGGGAGGGGAGGAGGAGGAGAGAGGAGGAGAGAGAGGAGAGCGAGGAGCCAAGAGGACCCAGGACGAGGTGAGGGAGGAGGGAGGGAAGGAGGGAGGGAGGGGGAGGAGGGAGGGAAGGAGGGAGGGAGGAGGAGGAGGGAAGGAGGGAGGCGGGAGGACCCAGGACGAGGTGAGGGAGGAGGAGCAGGAGTGGGAGGAGGGGAGAGAGGAGGAGGAGGAGAGAGGAGAGAGGAGGGAGAGAACCAAGAGGACCCAGGACGAGGTGAGGGAGGAGGGAGGGAGGAGGAGGGAGAGAACCAAGAGGACCCAGGACGAGGTGAGGGAGGAGGAGGAGGAGGGAGGGAGGGAGGGAGGAGGAGGAGGGAGGCAGGAGGACCCAGGACGAGGTGAGGGAGGAGGAGGAGGGAAGGAGGGAGGCGGGAGGACCAGGACGAGGTGAGGGAGGAGGAGCAGGGAGTGGGAGGAGGGAGAGGAGGAGGGGAGGAGGAGGAGGAGAGAGCAAGAGGACCCAGGACGAGGTGAGGGAGGAGGAGGAGGGAGGCGGGAGGACCCAGGACGAGGTGAGGGAGGAGGAGCAGGGAGTGGGAGGAGGGAGAGAGGAGGAGGAGGAGGGGAGGGAGAGCCAAGAGGACCCAGGACGAGGTGAGGGAGGAGGAGGGGAGGGAGGAGGGGAGAGAGGAGGAGGAGGGAAGGAGGGAGGCGGGAGGACCCAGGACGAGTGAGGGGAGGAGGAGGAGGAGGAGGGAGGGAGGGAGGCGGGAGGACCCAGGACGAGGTGAGGGAGGAGGAGCAGGGAGTGGGAGGAGGAGGAGAGGAGGAGGAGGAGGAGGAGGGAGGGAGGAGGAGGGAGAGATCCAAGAGGACCCAGGACAAGGGGGAGGAGGAGGAGGAGGAGGAGGAGGAGGAGGAGGAGAATGAATGTGGATGAAAATGTTTTGAACCAAATCTATTCTCTTTCTGACCAATCACAGTGCCAGCAGACGTGGTACCATGAAGGCTCCGCCTCCCTGAAGGACGCTCGACTCTGGTTGGCCAGATACTCTCTGCCACGGTGAGTCAGCAACAAAGCGACCGGTCGGAGGAGCACCAGAGGGCGAGAGGCTCCGTCTCTCCTCTTAGACACGTCTTTTATTATCGCAGGTTGTCCATCTTTTAGTGTTTGGAAGCGTTCTGTAAATAAAGATGGCCGCCGCGTCTGCGCCTCCTCCCTCTGAACCAATGAAACCTAAACATCTGCACACGTGACCTCAGCTGGAGCCGGAGTCTGCACGGTCATCAGGGTCCCACCCACACACCCTGTCCATCCAATCACAGCAAGGCTCAGCTGTCAATCATTAAACCTCCTTTGTATAGCTAAGTATCAAAAAAGTATCATTACCAAAGTATTAAATTTGTTCTTGTCCTTTCATACAATTAAATTAATTCCGTCACGTCATAAATGTCCTGTTCACGTTATGTGAATGGAAACATCAAACTAACGCACGTTAAACTTAAATCAGCCAGATGCTCCGATCACGGGAACGAGGGAAAAAAAACCGGAGCCCGACTCCTTATCCTTAAATGTATTTTTGGTAAATAGAGGGAGGCAATTTCGTCGCCCAGAAGGCAGTAGTTCGATTGAAGAGGCAAGGGGGTGCCTCTTGTATCCCACAATGGTTTTTGCCTTGTTCCTTACCCTTTCCCTATAAATGCATTCCACACTTGGTAACTTGATCCCTAATAGTTTACTGGCCATTGTTACTGTTTTCCTTACAGACTTCTTCTGTGCCTCAGTAGCATTACCAAACCAGCAGATGATGCAGAAGGCCAACACACTTTCAATAAAAGAAGAATAAAACATCTGAAGCATTTTGTTGTGAACATTAAAGGATAACAATTTCTTTAAAAAGTACATTCTTTGTTGTGTCAGACCACAGATCCCATTTAAGCTTATGGTCAATCACAGTGCCAAGATATTTATAATTTGTGACTGATTGTATAGCCTCCCCGTTGATAAAAGTTGAATTTGATGATTGGATCATTCTAAAATCAATAGACATTTCTTTTGTTTTGGTGGTGTTTAGAAGGAGGCTTGACTTTTCACACCACTCTAAGAAATAGCCAAGAACTGGCCCGTGCTCCTCCTCCTCATCATATAGTAGACTTAACAAGGCAGTATCATCTGCATACTTAATAAGGTGCCTGTTTGGTAAAGTGCTGGTACAAGAATTAGTATATAAAATAAACAACAAAGGAGATAAAACGCATCCCTGAGGAGAGCCTGTGCAAGTAGACATTTTATCAGAGAGAGAAGTTCCTGCCCTGACTTGCTGGATTCTTCAGCTAAGAAAATCAACAATCCATAAGATCAAGCCAGGTTCAAGTGAAAATTCTGAGGCCAATCTATCCGCCAAAATACTGGGCTGAATAGTATTAAAAGCCGAGGAAAAGTCCACAAATAAAATCTTAGCATGGGTCTTTGGTTTCTCAAGGTGAGTGTGCAATAAGTGCAATAGTGTCCCAATGGCATCTTCAACTCCCCTGGAGGCCTGATAGGCAAATTGCAAGGGGTCCATGAGGTGCTGAGTTTCAGATGCAATGTACCTCTTTACTAAACGCTCCAAGCACTTCATGACCAGCGATGTTAGTGCAATTGGTCGAAAATCATTTGGTCCAGTGGGTCGCTGAGTTTTTGGCACTGGTATAATTATGGATGTTTTCCACAGCGTTGGGACCTTGTGAAGGTTAAAAGAAGATCTAAAAAGGTCAGTGAACACCTGTGCTAGCTGTTCAGCACAGTGTTTTATGACCCTTCCACATATGTTATCTGGACCTGAGCTTTTCCGAGAATTACATTTCCTAAAAAGCTGGAGGACTTCTGATTCCTTGATGGTGAAGTTAGATGAGAGGGGGAGGAGAGGGAGGGGTAGGGGTATCCCAGTTGTTGCTTCCGTACTATTGCCCCTCTCAAAACGACAAAAGAATGTATTGAGCTGGTTAGCCAGATCAGGTTCCTCACTCTGCAAAACCAGAGGAGAATTTCCCCCTGCCCTTATGTGGAACATTGGTCATAATTTTAATTCCTTGCCATGTCTCTCTAGGATTATCTTTTGTTTATAGCTGTACTTATCCAGCTGTATTTGTCGTTTAATCTGCCTCTGCCTCCCTTCTCGCTGTTTCATCCTGATTTCTATAAGCTTTTTTTCTTTTGAATTATAAGATTCTTTAGTTTGTTTGACACCCATGACTTGTCATTAGCAAATACTTTAAAGGACTTAGTAGGTATCACAGAGTCTACACAAAAGTTAATATAATCAGACACTGCTACAACATGATCATTAATATCAGGGCTCTTAAAGACATCCCACGCTGTACAGTCAAAACACCCCTGCAGAGCCATAATGCTGTTATTGTTCCACACTTTGACAGACCTTTTTTGAGGCCGAAGATGAACCACACTGTGATCAGACGCCCCTAGTGGTGGTAGCTGGGATGCTGTGTAGGCGTCTTTGACGGTTCCATAACACATGTCTAAAGACTTGTTTTTCCTAGTAAAACAATTAACATACTGATGGTATGTGCGCAGATGTTTTTTAAGGGAACAGTTATTAAAATCTCCCAGAATGAACTTAGGAGCATCAGGTGAAAGTGACTCCAGATTCTGTGAGAGGTTAAAAAGAATCTCTGAAGCTTTGTTGACATTTGCCTTTGGGTGTATATACACCACTGTAAGGACAATTTGAGGAAACGCCCTTGGCAGATAGAAGGGTCGCAGAGAGACACACAGCAGCTCGATATCAGGAGTACAAAGTTTCTCTCTCACCGTAACTGCCCGACACCACTCGTCCCTGATGAGGAAACGGACTCCGCCTCCGCGAGCCTTCCCGGTGATGTTGGGGTCTCGGTCGGTCCTAAACGCCGAGAAGCCTGAAGGTTCCACCTCACTGGACGCGATGTTACTATCCAGCCAAGTCTCAGTGATTGCCAAGACACACGCGCTCCTATACTCGTACAGGAAGCGGGTGTTAGCTGATAACTCCTCTGTCTTCGCTCTCAGTGATTGCGCGTTGATAAGCAGTGTAGTAGGCAGAGGGAGTTTGTTTTTCAGCCTCTTTAATCGAAGTCGAATACCACCCTTAAGTCCGCGTTTACGTTTCGACCGATTATTCCCTTCCTTAGGATTTGATTTAAGACAGTTCGGTATCAAGTCCACAGCCGTTAAATAGTCCGGGGGAATGTCATTGCAGAACAGCAGTAGGAATTCTCTGCTGTATCGTATTTCGCAGGGTTCGCCGCCAGCAGCATTGTCGAGGTTGCTTCCTTGAGCAAAGTATGTGTTTAAAATCACAGCAGTCCAATCACATACCATAAAACAAAATCCATGTTAATACTAAGTGGCAAACAGACAAACAAAACAAATGCCTAACGTGAAAGCAGCGAGGCAGCCACAGAGCAGCGCCAAACCGGAAAAGGCGCCAAACCGGAATGTGAGCTAAGTGTGTCGTCACACCGCTAATCTGTCCAACCACTTCTCAACACTTGATTCATTTTATCTCATCAAAGTACAAACACACCCCAAAAAGCTCCAGTGTGTTAAATATTAATGGATTATAATAAAATGTTTTATTAAATGTAACTTTGTAAACCATTTTCTCTGGCTTAAAATTCATTCAGATTTTTCATTAAACGGCAGTGACTGTCACTCACAAGCTCCTGTTGTGATTGGTCCATCAGGGCAATGAGGCGTCTGGAGGCTGCACGTGCTCAGAGGGATGTTGCAGAGGGAACCAGGACGATACGGCAACAGGAGCTGCACAAGAGCCTGAGGGTGAGACGAGAGTACTGGGTCATCGTGGTCCAGCCGGGTCATCGTGGTCCAGCTGGACTACAGATACCATTAGAAACGAGACTGAACGAAGGTTCACAGGTGATCCGTTGGGTCAGAGCCAACAGGTGTAAACAGGATTGATCGTTTCTCCTGATCAATATGACGAAGAGTCCGATATTATAGGAACCATCGTTCGTTCATTCAGTCTGGAAAACAAACCAGTAGCTTGATGTTTTTGTACTTTTCCTGTTTTCATCTCAAGAGTGGGTAATCTGATCAGTTTGGGCGGCACGATCTGGAGAAAAGGTCAAATATTTGGACTCATGATATGATGGTAACCATAATGAGCCTGATTATCAAGGGAAATGCCCAAAAGAGTGCGCGACTCCCTGTCACTTTTCCACCGTTGTTTGCTAACCAATAAATCTCAATCAACAGTCCGAGAGCCGCACAAGTCTCGCCTATGTCGCCTGAGATCGAACGTCTGCGTTAAATGTGTTGCTGGGAAACAGCAGCCAGCGTGCAGCAGTGTGTTTGCAGCGAACAGCTGATGGAGTTAGGCTAAATACTGGGTCCTGAGTTGTTTTTCCACAGAGCTGAAGTCGGTCAGCAGGTACTAAAGCTGGTTAAACATCCCGTTCCTCCGACGCTAATGCGAATCAGACGTGATGCTGCAGCTGATCTGCAGCTCTCATCGGCTGGAAATGTTTTAATAACCTTCCAAACTGTCGCCACTTCATTTTTGTGTTGCTTTCTCAGTGTTGGAGTTATTTTAAGAACGTGATGGTTTTATCCAGTTTGTTATTAAATGTGTCTCCTCATTAAACTCCCACACAAAAAGCTGCTTTAATGGTCAAACACAGCCTGTAGTTTTTCATTATGTTCAGATCTGATGATCGTGGATTGTGGTTTCAAATAATGATGCCTGTGCGTCGCTGTGTACGGCAATGCACCTTTTATTGGTGTGTGGCTGACTTAAGCTCAGAGCGGTGTTGATTCCTGCACCCTGAAACCAGAAATGAAATACTGACGTTCCTGTGTTTCTATCGAAGCGTTCCCTACATGTTCTCTGATCAACAAACTTCTTCTTCTTCAGAATCTCAACAACTTCTGCAGTCAGATCGGTGACGACCGACCAATCAGCTTCTGCCACTTCAGCCCCGACTCCAAAATGCTGGCCACCGGCTCCTGGTACACCGCCTCTGTAGCATTAGCATTTCCACTGCATGGTGCGGCACGGCTCGACTCGCCTGGAAACGTTCTTTTTGGTTTTCCGTTGACGAGTAGAGTTTTGGGAACGTCTCATCGAGGGTCCAAGCCGATAGTGGAAGGCGGAGTAACAACAGACCTCTGACTGGTCAGAGAGAATCTGTCAGCAGTGTAGTCAAGAGAAGAGTCTGGTGTCAAAGCGAGCCGAGCCGTTCCATGCAGCCAGCTAGGAACACACATTACACATGACATGAGGAAGCTAATGCTAACATGCTTATGCCCCCCCCCCCCAGGAGTGGTCTTTGTAAGCTGTGGTCCATCCCCGACTGCAGCCTGATTCGCACACTCAGAGGTGGGCGGAGCTTCACATGTCACACATTTTAATATTTTATTGTTTGTAATGTGTTAATATTATCGATTGATAACTAATACATGTATTTAGTTATAAAGAATATGATTCAGTAATAATATGTATGTATGTCAGGTACTTCACCAGGTGTGTTCAAACCTCCGCCTGGAACATGTTTAATTTGTAGTAATATCATATTTTTTACTGACGCAGTATTAATTAAACAGCTACGCTCTGATTATACTGAAAGTTATTCACTTTATTGATCCCTGATTCATATTCCATGAGAACGTGTTCTAACTGAGACCCCGCCCCTCTCTGTCCCTGCTCTCCGATTGGCTGAAGGACACAACACGAATGTGGGCGCGGTCGTGTTCCGCCCGCAGGCCGGAATCTCTCTCGACCAATCAGACGTTAGCTTGGCCTCCTGTGCTGCTGACGGGTCTGTGAAGCTGTGGAACCTAGAGAGGTAGGAGACGAGGAGGGAGGAGACGAGGAAATGAGGGGGAAGAAAGGAGGGAGGAGACAAGGTGGAGGAAAGGAGATAAAGGGACAAGGAGGGAGGAGACAAGGGGGAGGAAAGGAGACAAGAGGGAGAAGACAAGGAGGGAGGATACGAGGAGAGGAGGGGGAAGAAAGGAGGGAGGAGACAAGGTGGAGGAAAGGAGATAAAGGGACAAGGAGGGAGGAGACAAAAAAGGAGATAAAGGGACAAGGTGGGAGGAGACAAGAGGGAGGAGACAAGGAGGGAGGAGAGGAGGGGAAAGAAAGGAGGAAGGAGATGAGGGGAAAGAAAGGAGGGAGGAGAAAGGAGGGAGGAGACGAGGGGAAAGAAAGGAGGGAGGAGACGAGGGGAAAGAAAGGAGGGAGGAGACGAGGGGAAAGAAAGGAGGGAGGAGACGAGGGGAAAGAAAGGAGGGAGGAGACAAGGGGGAGGAGACAAGGAGGAGGATACGAGGAGAGGAGGGGGAAGAAAGGAGGGAGGAGACAAGGTGGAGGAAAGGAGATAAGGGACAAGGAGGGAGGAGACAAAAAAGGAGATAAAGGGACAAGGTGGAGGAGAGGAGGAGGAGACAAGGAGGGAGGAGAGGAGGGAAAGAAAGGAGGGAGGAGAGGAGGGGAAAGAAAGGAGGAGGAGAAAGGAGGGAGGAGACGAGGGGAAAGAAAGGAGGGAGGAGACGAGGGGAAAGAAAGGAGGGAGGAGACAAGGGGGAGGGGAAAGAAAGGAGGGAGGAGACAAAAAGGAGATAAAGGGACAAGGAGGGAGGAGACAAGGGAAGAGGAGACTTGGAGACATTTAGGGAGGACAAAAAGGAAGGAGATAAAGGGGCAAGCAGGGAGGAGACAAGTATTTAAGAAGTGAATAATAATGAACCTTCCTACTTGTTAACATCATCCTTTCTGTTTCCCTGTTTGCCGTAGTGACGAGCCAGTGGCGGACATCGAGGGTCACAGTCAGCGAGTTTCTCGAGTGTCCTGGCATCCTTCAGGGAGGTTCCTGGGAACCACCAGGTAACTTCTGTGTACTAATACACACACAGGTAGTCGGGGTGCGAGCGTCGCTTTTTTCTGTGTACTAATACACAGGCAGGTAGTCGGGGTGCGAGCGTCGCTTTGTTCTGTGTACTAATACACAGGCAGGTAGTCGGGGTGCGAGCGTCGCTTTGTTCTGTGTACTAATACACAGGCAGGTAGTCGGTGTGCGAGCGTCGCTTTGTTCTGTGTACTAATACACAGGCAGGTAGTCGGGGTGCGAGCGTCGCTTTGTTCTGTGTACTAATACACAGGCAGGTAGTCGGGGTGCGAGCGTCGCTTTGTTCTGTGTACTAATACACAGGCAGGTAGTCGGGGTGCGAGCGTCGCTTTGTTCTGTGTACTAATACACAGGCAGGTAGTCGGGGTGCGAGCGTCGCTTTGTTCTGTGTACTAATACACAGGCAGGTAGTCGGGGTGCGAGCGTCGCTTTGTTCTGCTACATAAAACATTCAGCTCATTTAATGACATCATCAATATAAATTATGTAATCCAATGTTCAGTATATTTACAAAAACACATTAAATGCATGTTTGTGTACACATTCATTATCTCATAGTATTTGTGATCTGGTAGTATTTGTTATATCGTAGTATTCCTGTGTTTCCCTGCAGTTATGATAACTCATGGCGTCTGTGGGATCTGGAGGTTCAGGAGGAAATCCTCCATCAGGAGGGTCACAGCAAAGGAGTCCACGACATCCACTTCCATCCTGACGGCTCGCTGGCTGCCACCGGGTAAAGTACACTCTGTAGTACACTCTGTAGTACACTCTGTAGTACACTCTGTAGTACACTCTGTGCTACACTCTGTGCTACACTCTGTAGTACACTCTGTGCTACACTCTGTAGTACACTCTGTGCTACACTCTGTAGTACACTCTGTGCTACACTCTGTGCTACACTCTGTAGTACACTCTGTAGTACACTCTGTGCTACACTCTGTAGTACACTCTGTAGTACACTCTGTGCTACACTCTGTGCTACACTCTGTAGTACACTCTGTGCTACACTCTGTAGTACACTCTGTGCTACACTCTGTAGTACACTCTGTAGTACACTCTGTGCTACACTCTGTAGTACACTCTGTAGTACACTCTGTGCTACACTCTGTGCTACACTCTGTAGTACACTCTGTGCTACACTCTGTGCTACACTCTGTGCTACACTCTGTAGTACACTCTGTGCTACACTCTGTGCTACACTCTGTGCTACACTCTGTAGTACACTCTGTGCTACACTCTGTGCTACACTCTGTAGTACACTCTGTAGTACACTCTGTAGTACACTCTGTGCTACACTCTGTAGTACACTCTGTAGTACACTCTGTAGTACACTCTGTGCTACACTCTGTAGTACACTCTGTAGTACACTCTGTAGTACACTCTGTGGTACACTCTGTGCTACACTCTGTAGTACACTCTGTAGTACACTCTGTGGTACACTCTGTGCTACACTCTGTGCTACACTCTGTAGTACACTCTGTAGTACACTCTGTAGTACACTCTGTGCTACACTCTGTGCTACACTCTGTAGTACACTCTGTAGTACACTCTGTGCTACACTCTGTAGTACACTCTGTAGTACACTCTGTGCTACACTCTGTAGTACACTCTGTAGTACACTCTGTGGTACACTCTGTGCTACACTCTGTGCTACACTCTGTAGTACACTCTGTAGTACACTCTGTAGTACACTCTGTGCTACACTCTGTGCTACACTCTGTAGTACACTCTGTGCTACACTCTGTGCTACACTCTGTGCTACACTCTGTAGTACACTCTGTGCTACACTCTGTAGTACACTCTGTAGTACACTCTGTAGTACACTCTGTGCTACACTCTGTGCTACACTCTGTAGTACACTCTGTAGTACACTCTGTAGTACACTCTGTGCTACACTCTGTAGTACACTCTGTGCTACACTCTGTGCTACACTCTGTGCTACACTCTGTGCTACACTCTGTAGTACACTCTGTAGTACACTCTGTGCTACACTCTGTAGTACACTCTGTAGTACACTCTGTAGTACACTCTGTGCTACACTCTGTAGTACACTCTGTAGTACACTCTGTAGTACACTCTGTAGTACACTCTGTAGTACACTCTGTGCTACACTCTGTGCTACACTCTGTGCTACACTCTGTAGTACACTCTGTAGTACACTCTGTGCTACACTCTGTGCTACACTCTGTGCTACACTCTGTGCTACACTCTGTAGTACACTCTGTGCTACACTCTGTGCTACACTCTGTAGTACACTCTGTAGTACACTCTGTAGTACACTCTGTGCTACACTCTGTAGTACACTCTGTAGTACACTCTGTGCTACACTCTGTGCTACACTCTGTGCTACACTCTGTGCTACACTCTGTAGTACACTCTGTGCTACACTCTGTGCTACACTCTGTGCTACACTCTGTAGTACACTCTGTAGTACACTCTGTAGTACACTCTGTGCTACACTCTGTGCTACACTCTGTGCTACACTCTGTAGTACACTCTGTGCTACACTCTGTGCTACACTCTGTGCTACACTCTGTGCTACACTCTGTAGTACACTCTGTGCTACACTCTGTGCTACACTCTGTGCTACACTCTGTAGTACACTCTGTAGTACACTCTGTAGTACACTCTGTAGTACACTCTGTGCTACACTCTGTGCTACACTCTGTGCTACACTCTGTAGTACACTCTGTGCTACACTCTGTGCTACACTCTGTGCTACACTCTGTGCTACACTCTGTAGTACACTCTGTGCTACACTCTGTGCTACACTCTGTGCTACACTCTGTAGTACACTCTGTAGTACACTCTGTAGTACACTCTGTGCTACACTCTGTGCTACACTCTGTGCTACACTCTGTGCTACACTCTGTGCTACACTCTGTAGTACACTCTGTGCTACACTCTGTGCTACACTCTGTAGTACACTCTGTGCTACACTCTGTGCTACACTCTGTAGTACACTCTGTAGTACACTCTGTAGTACACTCTGTGCTACACTCTGTGCTACACTCTGTGCTACACTCTGTAGTACACTCTGTGCTACACTCTGTGCTACACTCTGTAGTACACTCTGTAGTACACTCTGTGCTACACTCTGTGCTACACTCTGTGGTACACTCTGTGCTACACTCTGTGCTACACTCTGTAGTACACTCTGTAGTACACTCTGTGCTACACTCTGTGCTACACTCTGTGCTACACTCTGTGCTACACTCTGTGCTACACTCTGTAGTACACTCTGTGCTACACTCTGTAGTACACTCTGTGCTACACTCTGTGCTACACTCTGTGCTACACTCTGTAGTACACTCTGTAGTACACTCTGTGCTACACTCTGTAGTACACTCTGTGCTACACTCTGTGCTACACTCTGTGCTACACTCTGTGCTACACTCTGTGCTACACTCTGTAGTACACTCTGTGCTACACTCTGTGCTACACTCTGTGCTACACTCTGTGCTACACTCTGTAGTACACTCTGTAGTACACTCTGTGCTACACTCTGTGCTACACTCTGTAGTACACTCTGTAGTACACTCTGTGCTACACTCTGTAGTACACTCTGTGCTACACTCTGTGCTACACTCTGTAGTACACTCTGTGCTACACTCTGTGCTACACTCTGTAGTACACTCTGTGCTACACTCTGTGCTACACTCTGTGCTACACTCTGTGCTACACTCTGTAGTACACTCTGTAGTACACTCTGTGCTACACTCTGTAGTACACTCTGTGCTACACTCTGTGCTACACTCTGTGCTACACTCTGTAGTACACTCTGTGGTACACTCTGTAGTACACTCTGTGCTACACTCTGTGCTACACTCTGTAGTACACTCTGTGCTACACTCTGTGCTACACTCTGTGCTACACTCTGTGGTACACTCTGTAGTACACTCTGTGCTACACTCTGTGCTACACTCTGTAGTACACTCTGTGCTACACTCTGTGCTACACTCTGTGCTACACTCTGTGCTACACTCTGTAGTACACTCTGTAGTACACTCTGTAGTACACTCTGTGCTACACTCTGTAGTACACTCTGTAGTACACTCTGTAGTACACTCTGTGCTACACTCTGTAGTACACTCTGTAGTACACTCTGTGCTACACTCTGTGCTACACTCTGTGCTACACTCTGTAGTACACTCTGTAGTACACTCTGTAGTACACTCTGTAGTACACTCTTCAGTTCAAAAGCTGGCCGAGGAAAATAAAACAAAGTGACGCGCCTCGTGTTTAACAGACCAGCTCAGTCATTCTCCAGCAATCAGTCGTTCAGCCCTAGCTATTAATCAGTGATATTGTACTCCAACTAATAGCTGAAGTAGTACTACACAATAGAATCATTAGTCCATGCAGTACTGCACGAGTGTAGAATCAGTACCCTGTAGTACTTTGTATCTGACAGTAGTACTGGTACTACAGTGTGTCGGTTCATTTTGTTGCTTTGTATGTTTTGGATTTATTATGTGTGAAGTTTAAATCCTGTGTCTCTGTGGCCCCGCCCCCTGTCTTTGGACCAATCATCTCTCTCCATCTGTCTTTTGCCCCACACCTCTTGACTGTCGTCCAATCAGAGGGCTGGATGCGTTCGGCAGGGTGTGGGACCTTCGGACAGGACGCTGTGTTGTTTTCCTGGAGGGACACCTGAAGGAGATCTACAGCCTACACTTCTCGCCCAACGGGTCAGCCAATCACAGACAGCACACACACACACAGCCAATCAGAGGAGAGCACAGTAAAGACGCAGCCAATCAGAGGAGAGCACAGTAAAGACGCAGCCAATCAGAGGAGAGCACATTAAAGACGCAGCCAATGAGAGGAGATGCGTCTTTAGGGCCAGCTCCTGATTGGTCCGCTCAGAGCCGTTCTCTCTGTAGCGTTCCCAAACCAGAGAGATGTGGAGAAGAGTCCAGCTGCATAAAAGCCAGACAAACGTGACGGAAGTTGAACTTCCATATATGGTCTCCCAGAAGCCACCGCGCACAAAACGTGATGACGTTTATCTCGACCGCTCGGCCCACGCATAGTTGTTAAATAAAAAAAGAGGTGTCAAGTGTCAACGTAGTAATCAGAGTACGTTATGTGTTAATATTCACTATACTATACTTATATATTATTAATATAGTATATTTATACCATAATTCCTGCAAATACTTATTTCTAACAGCCTAATGATAATAATAAAGAAATGTTTCAATTCATACCACTGTTGTACATTTAATTTCTTCCAAGTGATTTTAAGTTTCACAAACCAAGAATATTCTGTAATGTTGCATCACGAGCCAGATGTGTCTGGATTTAGGTTAGAATTATTGGCAGAATAACAGCGGTACGAACATTATCAGCTGTTGCTGGTCTGCTGTGTTGGCTGCAGTGGTTTGTGTGACCGGAGCTAGCGGCTATTCCTGACAGCCCCCCGAAGTATATTCCTCTTACCCAACCAGGGTGTGCCTAAGTTATTGATTATGCATGTCGACCGGTTAGCTCAGGCTCTGTGTGTGCCGCTGTAGAGGTGAAACGCTGTCGGAGCGGCGCCGGTTGTGGTTATAACGTTAGTTAAATGAAATGTCAAAGCTGCAGAGAGTGTGTTGTATTAGAGTTATTCAGCAGCAGCTCACTGGATCCTAGACGCCGTGATTTATACCGACGGAGGTTAAACGTTCTCTCGTGGCTTTGGTCAGAATCAAAGAGTGCTGGTGAAGAGATGAGCTGGATTTATGGCAGATTATGTGTAAAGTGAAACCCGTTTATTCTCTCTGTTTACAGGCGGCTGGAGAAGTTGCACCTTCCAGCAGCAAATGTTTATTGATCGTTGACACTGATCTCTTTTATTGACCTCATCCATTCAGGACAAGGTTTTCTGGCCCACATGCACACCGGCTTTATAAAGTAAAGGGCTCCAGATCTTTCTCTATCGGCATCGGCCCCACAAACCCAGAGCGGTCGGGCTTAGACTGGGACGCCGCGGCTCCTGCTACAGAACACGGGTCCAGAAAGAGAAGAAAAGCGCTGATTCCATTTAAAGCTACCGGGCTGCTCTGCACACGTGGCTCTGTCTTCGTTTCAGCTGAGGAAAAGGAGGAAACTCATTTCAGGTGTAAATGATACGCAGTGGATTAATATTCACCGCTTTCTGTCACCGCCGCCAGATATTAGAAATAAGAGCGACCCTATATCCGCCCTCCGCGATTACCACGTGCAGCGGTCGAGCACGCTCCTGTAATCTGCTGACGTCGCTGAGGTCACACCCGTAACGCGTCTCTCTGGTGGACAACGGATTCTGTTACGTGACGACATGAACACTCGCGTTTTCTGTAGAGGCAGAGGGGAAACGAGATGGCTGCCGGACACCGGTCGGCGTGTTTGTTTACCTGGTTTCAGAGCCGTCCTTCCACCTCCTCCCCGGGACGTGGTCACACGTTAGCACGTCGCCAGACTTCCCCCTTCACTGGAGGGCGCCGCTGCAGCCAATGTGATGCGCATCCTGTTCTCTGTAATCAGTTTCCTCCTCGGGATCGGGTCTGAGCAGAAAGCCGAGCTGGCTCACTGTCCCCCCCCCCCTCACAGATCCAGACCAGCTTCTGGATCTGTGAGGGGGGGCGGGACTGAAGGACCCGTGTTGATGATGTGAATATTGTCTGTGTTGTTGCTGCTCTCAGGTATCACCTGGCGACAGGAAGTGGTGATCACACCTGTAAGGTGTGGGAGCTGAGGAACAGGAAGTGTCTGTACACAGTCCCCGCCCACCAGAACCTGCTGTCCGCTGTCCGCTTCCAGCGTAAGTTCACCAGCTCTGTTTGTGCCCACAGAGCTCTTCAACGGGTCCTGTCCCTCATTATTACAAATAAAGCTCTTTAGTTTCAAACCTTTGACTCTCTTTCCTGTTCCTGTCTCTGACCTCACTTCCTGTTTGTGTGCAGCCACAGACGGTCACTTCCTGTTGACTGGAGCGTACGACAACACGGCGAAGGTTTGGAGTCACCCGGGCTGGACGCCGATGAAGACGCTCGCCGGACACGAGGGGAAGGTACAGACTCGGACGTTGCGGCTGATTGGTGGAGACGCCTCGGGTTCTTTAACGCATCAAACCCGTTTGTGTTTTCAGGTGATGTCCGTCGACGTGTCACCTGACGGGAAACTGATCGCCACCAGCTCCTACGACCGAACCTTCAAACTCTGGCTGTCTGAGTGATGTCATGATGATGTCAGGCGTGATGTCACAGCAGAACGCGCCTTTTTTATTGTTAAAAAGTTTTTTCTTTTCTGAAAAATGCAAAAAACAAATCAAATGTTTCTGTTTTCTGATGAAATAAAAGTTTACATGTGGTCTCTGATCCAGAACGCTGCAGCACGTTGTGACAGGAAGCAGAGGTCACGTCTCTCCTCAGCTTCCTGTAGAATCATTCTTCTTACCTACAAAGCTCTTAATGGTCAGGCACCATCTTATCTTAAAGAGCTCATAGTACCTTACTACCCCACCAGAGCACTGCGCTCCCAGAATGCAGGGTTACTTGTGGTTCCTAGAGTCTCCAAAAGTAGACTAGGAGCCAGAGCGTTCAGCTATCAAGCTCCTCTCCTGTGGAACCAGGTTCCAGTTTGGGTTCAGGAGGCAGACACCATCTCCACATTTAAGAGTAGGCTTAAGACTTTCCTCTTTGATAAAGCTTATAGTTAGGGCTGGCTCAGGTGAGTCCTCAGGAGACAGACAACGTCTCCACATTTACTCCACATTTTGACTCATGCTGCCTGCAGCTCTGCAATCAAATACGATTTTAAATAGGCCTAGTAAAAAAATATGGCGGGCCGCCTTAAATGAACGTACGGGAAACACTAACTTATCTGCTCATGTTGAAAACTCTGCACATTCAGAATCTCTCCCACATATCTGAGTTCTCTGACATGTAAAGAAAAGAAGTCGTAATATTAGGAGACTAACGGCATCATATTTTAGTACTGCATTACGTTACTGATTGGCTGGATGTTTCCACTCGACCGTCGACAGACACAACAAAGAGGAGGAGCTGCTAAACCAAACTAACGGTGCTTTCAGACCAACTGTGGATTTTCTCCTCCGCAAGTGTTCACACACAAGGCGAGAAGGCGATTTTAACGTGAATAAACGCACCTCGCCGTTACTCCAGCTGTATGAACCCAAAGTGAACATGTTGCTGTGATTAAAGAGCAACAAATGGATCAATCTGATGCTGAAATAACTACAACATGATGCAGATTTGTTAAACATGAATTCATGCTTTGTCAGCTCTGTCAGCAGGACAGCAGCTTCTGAAACGTTTGTTTTCTGAATGGAGTTCGGATCGATCAGGGCTATGCTACGCTAACCTGGTCACAGTAAAGTACGACAGCTGGAATAAAGTTACAGACACATGTTTTCTGAACTCGCCAGGTAGTTCAACCTCCTCGCTTTCTTTTCTCCAAGTAATGTTCAGTTTTGTCCATTTTTAATATAAATATGAAGTCGTAGTCTGACAGAGCAAACGACGCTAACAACAACAGCGGAACCGGATGTGCACAGAAGCTCCAGTGACGATAAATCAAGCTGTAATCCCAAAAACTAAAGTAAAAAGCTGATTTAATAAAAGCAGTTAACTCCGAGCTCCTCCCTCGAGTAAACGGCGTAGCTGTCAGAGCCGAATCCAGACCGACTACGGGGGTTTATTTGTCCAAAGGTTGCAGCGCTGCTCCCCTCCCCCACGTTCAGCAGCTGGATCCCCCGCTCTGAAGCCTCGGTGACGTACGCACAGTCTCAACACTGATAGGGTATCGCGACTCTGTGTCATGCGACTTCTTGACTGAATATTTTCAACTCAAGCGAATTGGATTGGGGCCAAGATGGCGCCGCTGTAAGACGGTTTTTTTGTACTCTGGCAAGTCTTTTTCATTCAGTGCTTGAATTTATTTGTGAATAGTTTTTTCCAACATTAAGAACAATGCTTTGAAAACGGCTGGCGATACTTTGACCCAGTTTTGTTTTATTTTTCTGTGGGTTTTCTCTCCAACGAACGGTGCTGTCGTCAAGCTAAGTTAACGCTGCTAAACGCTATAGCTAGCTGCCTAGTGTAGAGTGTTTGTTGGATACGTTGGTCCTCCACTTTACAATTGACAACTCATTCTGCTGAAATGAGACAATGGAAGTGGAAGGTACGGCTGACAATCTTAAACGTGTTCATGACTGCCGAACGACATCAGGCGGACCTGGAAGAAGGTCCAATGAAAAAAGCAGCCCTCTAATGATGTCATGTTGGCCGCAATTAAGAAGATTTCTGAGAAACTTGAAACCATAGAAAAGACAGTTTTCCAAAACTTGGAGAATATTCAAGCACTATTGATTTCTGTGAAAGCTACAGAGAAAACGGTTGGAGAGCTTTCATCCAGAGTGGGACCCCCTGGGGCTCCAGCTTAATACTTTGAGGGCTGAAATAAGAAGTAAGAAGTAATAAGAATAAAGTGAATGAGCTGGATGCGTACGCTGGAACATGAGGGTGAAAACGTTAAAATGACTGCGATGGAACTTTTTTCTGGTGTTTCTCCCGCTCTTGCCGACAGACTGGGCCCACGCTCAAGGAAAGAAGGACCTCCGCGCCGTATCATCGTCCGTTTCTCTCTCAGATATAAAATATCGGAGGACTTGACGCAGCAGGTGAAGGATGCCAGAGCCGAGCTGTGGCCGCTGGCGGAGGAGGCTAGGAAGCAAAACAAGAGAGCCGGCTTTAGTGGTCCGTGTGCTGTCATTGCCAGTAAGAAGATCTCTGTGGAGGATCTCGCTTGAATCAGAAGCACCTGTAATGGCAAAGTATGTTCACCTCCCCCTGGTATTATTCTTATGTGGAAAGGAAGATGTAGGGATATTTGTTTGGGGGTTTTTTCCATTTCATAGAGGGATATCCTCGACGTAATCCTGGATACCTTCTTAAAACAATCTGATTATTTCTCAGTCAGTGTGTGATGTGTAAAATGGGAATTATTTAAATTTGAATGTCAAACTTTCTTTCAACTTTCAAACTTTCAATTTGGGAAGCGGCACTCAATAAATCTAAATAAGGCTTATGTAGACGATATGAAAAGGTTGAATGATATTCTGAATATTCCTTCTCCGAGCAAGAGAGATTACACTCATTAAGAGAAAAGCAATGGGAGCTTTCATAAGATCTCGTGCCAGATGGTTGGAGCATGGAGAATGAAATTCTTTCTTCTTTTTTAATCTGGTGGTGAAGCAAAAAAGCTTTCTACTTTATATATTGATAACTGTCTTTCTACGAGTGAGAAGAAGATCTCCTCATTTATTGCTCATTTTTATCAAAAGCTATATACATCATCCTTTGACCCTCAGGCTTGTCATGTCTTCTTTGACAAAGCCCTTTTATTCCAAAGATGTCTAAAAAAACCTGCGAGCTTTGTGAAGGTCCAATCTCGTTGCAAGAATTACAGTCGATCATCAGGAAAATGCCGTCAAACAAAAGGAGGATGTTAAACACGTTAGTGGAAGCCAAACATAATGAGTTAACTGTTTCCATGAAGCAAGGTTTGATCTCCCTAAACAACACAAAGATCTTCTCATCTAGATAATTGGCGTCCTATAACCTTACTTAATTCAGAATATAAACTACTTGCTGCACTGTTTGCTCAAAGGTTAAAATTGTGTTTAGAGGAGATTATCTCTCCAACGCAGTCGGGCTTTATGAAGGGTCGGCACATTTCACAGAGTTATTTGACGGCGATTCATTGATCTTGTTTTTGGACTTTTACAAAGCTTTTGACACGGTTGAGCATCCCTTTATTATTGAGGCTTTAAAATATTTTGGTACATTTTATTGTAACATTAATAGTAGTGTATCCTTAGCACATGGCACTCAGATCAGACAACAGTGTCCTTTTTTATTTTTAAAGGCTGCTGAACTTCTTAATTTGTATATTGTTAATTGTACAGGGTATAAAGATAGGTGAAAATACTTTACTCATTAGTCAGCTGGCTGATGATACCTGTCTCCAAAATGGACTTCAGGTACCAATTATTATAAATGCTTTAAAATTATTTTCGCTTGCATCTGGTCTCACAATTAATGAGGATAAGTGTGAAATAATGACTGTACAGGACTCCAATATCCGCTCAGTAGATGGGATAAAGGTTAAAAAAGTTGTTAAATATTTGGGTATCACTATAAGTAAATCTAAAGAGGATAGGATTTCACTTAATGTTTTACCACAAATTGGACGATCTAAATCTATTTTTAATTGTTGGCTACAAAGGGATCTTTCTATTTTGGGTAGAGGTTTATCTAGATTGGTGTATCCAGCTTTATCATTATATGTTGATAGGAAAACGTGTGCAGCCATCGACTGTCTTATTTAAATTCATTTGAAAGAATAAAACAGAATATGTAAAGAGGAAAACTTTGAGTATTCAGAAGGAGGCCTGAATGTTTACCATTAATAGTATCTTTAAGATTAATTGGTTAAGACTTTGTTTAATTCATAATAACTGTCCTTGGTGTTTATGTTTGATCAGTGTGGTGGTTTCAGGTTTTTGCTTTCTTGTAATTTTGTTTCGGGTAAACTTCCTGTTAAACTTGCCAACTTGCATAAACAAGCCCTGATCACACGTATGCTGTAAATAGAAATAAGACCATGTTTGTTAAGGACTGGTTTGACCGAGGGATGAACTGTTTAGGGACACAGAGGACCTGGCTACGTATGAAGAGTTTGTCCAGCAAAGGAGTGTTGAAATATCTCGGCCTCAGTTTGCCAAAGTAATTAACAGCAAACCGCTCAGGTGTTATCCCTCATTAAAGCTGCGCTGATATGTGAACCTGTATCAGGGGTGATCCCGCGTTTGTGGCTTGGTGGGAAGACTCTTGAGGACAGCTCTTGTAGTAATGTGCATATCAGAAGGGTTTTTACCTCTCTCCAGTGTCCTACTGCCTTTTATCGTTGGAAAGCAGTTTTCCCGAATTTTAACAGGACGGTCTGGTCAGACTTGAACCGTTTTTTTGTCCCCAACAAAGTGAAAGAAATGCAGGTAAAAATTCTACACAGATATGATCCTTGTAATGAATTTATTCACAAGTTTAGATCTGATGTCTCCCCTTTATGCTCTTTTTGTGAGTCAGAGACGGAGTCGTTTTCTCATTTATTTTATGAGTGTGCTTTTTATATGACTTTTGGTCACAATTATTATTAATATGGGAATCTCATAATATCTCGGTCCCTTTATCTGAAAGTATGGTCTTATTTTTGAATGTGGAATCTGTGAAATTGCTGATCTGGTTAAGCTGTTATGTCTTTTGGGTAAACATCATATTCATAAAGCAAAATGAATGCAGTTTC